TCATGTCAAGATCTTATTGACATCAATGCATGATTTAGGCAAAAGCCTGTAAATGGCAATTGGATCTCATTCAGGATTCGCCCCACAATCCTTCTTTTACCTCTGTGTTGTAACCTATGATTTTCCCTTATTTTCCCTTTTGTGTTGCCCTTTGTTATGCTTGAGAGGTGACCTATCAGAGCCATTTCTGACACAGAGCCAAGTTGTGATGCTGCAGCGTCGGGGTGTAAACACTGTGGTGTAGCTGGAGGATATACAGTACCTAGAGAAATTATTCACACACCTTTACTTTTTCCACATTTTGTTGTGTTACAGCCTGAATTAAAAATTGATTAAATTGAGATTTTGTGTCACTGGCCTGCACGCAATACCCATAAAAAGCTGAAATGTCTTGAGTCAATAAGTATTCAACCCCTTTGTTATGGCAACCCTAAATTAGTTCAGGAGTAAAAATGTGCTTAACAAGTCACATTAAGTTGCATGGACTCACTCTGTGTGCAATAATAGTGTTGAACATGATTTTTTATTGACTACCTCATCTCTGTACCCCATACATACAATTATCTTTAAGGTCCCTCAGTCGAGCAGTGAATTTCAGACACAGATTCAACCACAAAGACCAGGGAGGTTTTCCAATGCCTCGCAACGATGGGCACCTATTGGTAGATGGGTAAAAAATAAAAAGCAGACATTGAATATCCCTTTGAGCATGGTGAAGTTATTAATTACACTTTGGATGGTGTATCAATACACCCAGTCACTACAAAGATGCAGGCGTCCTTCCTAACTCAGTTGCCGGAGAGGAAGCACCATGTGGCCAATGGTGAATTTAAAACAGTTAGAGTTCAATGGCTGTGATAAGAGAAAACCGTGGATGGATCAACAACATTGTAGTTACTCCACAATACTAACCTAAATGAGAGTGAAAAAAAAGGAATCCTGTACAGAATAAAAATATTCCAAAACATGCATCTTGTTTCCAATAAGGCACTAAAGTAAAACTGCAATAAATTGGGCAAAGACATTAACTTTGTCCTGAATACAAAGCGTTATGTTTGGGGCAATTCCAACAACACATCACTGAGTACCACTCTTCATATTTTCAAGCATGGTAGCTGCATCGTGTTATGGGTATGCTTGTCATCGGCAAGGGATTTTGTTAGGATAAAAAGAAACATAATAAAGCTAAGCACAGGCAAAATCCTAGAGGGAAAACCTGGTTGTCTGCTTTCCAACAGACACTGGGTGACAAATTCACCTTTCAGCAGGACAATAACCTAAAACACAAGGCCAAATATACACTGAAGTTGCATATCAAGATGACATTGAATATTCCTGAGTGACCTAGTTACAGTTTAGACATAAATCGTCTTGAAAATTAATGGCAAGACTTGAAAATGGCTGTCTAGCAATGATCAACAACAAACTAGACAGAGCTTGAAGAATATTAAAAAAGAATACTGTGCGAATATTGTATAATCCAGGTGTGCAAAACTCTTAGATTTACCCAGAAAGACTCACAGCTGTAATCGCTGCCAAAGGTGGTTTTAACTTGTATTGACTCGGGTGTGAATACTTATGTAAATGTGAAAGTTCTGTATTTCATTTTCAATACATTTGCATACATTTTTTTTTTCACTTTGTCATTATGGGGTATTGTGTGTAGATGGGTGAGGGGGTAAAAATGATTTAATCCATTTTGAATTCAGACTAACACAGCAAAATGGGGAATAAGTCAAGGGATATGAATACTTTCTGAAGGTACTGTAGCCTAGCCTACCATGTCCCAGTGACAGTGTTCGCACTTAGCAAGCTGTGTGGCTGCTTGACAGCTCAGGGCACTAGAAGGATATAGGTGGTTATTCTGGGATTTGCATGGATTAATCATTTGGCTACTGACCCACATTAATTTATAGCATGTTTTAGTGACTGGAAAGGGTTAAACCTCTTCATACATAACATTTTACATTTTAGTCATTTAGCAGACGCTCTTATCCAGAGCGACTTACAGTTAGTGAGTGCATACATTTTTCATACTGGCCCCCCGTGGGAGTCGAACCCACAACACTGGCGTTGCAAGCGCCATGCTCTACCAACTGAGCTACAGGAGGCCTAGTTTATAAGGCTTATGTGAATGATTGTAGATGTGTCCTAGCATGTATGCCTTTTTGTCGACTGTGCTTCTACACTTCCTGTCAATAGAGCTGCTGGGGGCCTCGGGTCAGACTCCTTACCATAGTAACAGAGATTTGCCTTCGAGATATGGGTCAGGAAGGGCACTAATTCGCTCAGACATTCACAGATCTGAAGGACTTGACAGTGACAACCAGATAAAGACTGAGATCCCAAGCCAGGGTATCCATCAGACAGTATAGCTTCACCTCGGGGTCAAAGGGTATGATGACAGTAAGGGGGCTATGTAGGCCTACAGTTGAAGTCAGACGTTTACATACACCTTAGCCAAATACATTTCAACTCAGTTTTTCACAATTCCTGACATTTAATCCTAGTAAAAATGCCCTGTCTTAGGTCAGTTAGGATCACCACTTTATTTTGAGAATGTGAAATGTCAGCTTTTATTTATTTCATCACATTCCCAGTGGGTCAGAAGTTTACATACACTCAATTAGTATTTGGTAGCATTGCCTTTAAATTGTTTAACTTGGGTCAAATGTTTCGGGTAGCCTTCCACAAGCTTCCCACAATAAGTTGGGTGAATATTTTTAGCCCATTCCTCCTGACAGAGCTGGTGTAACGGAGTCAGGTTTGTAGGCCTCCTTCCTCGCACACGCATTTTCAGTTCTGCCCACATTGTCTATAGGATTGAGGTCAGGGCTTTGTGATGGCTTTGTGTTGTCCTTAAGCCATTTTGCCACAACTTTGGAAGTATGCTTGGGGTCATTGTCCATTTGGAAGACCCATTTGCGACCAAGCTTTAACTTCCTGACTGATGTCTTGAGATGTTGCTTCAATATATCCACCTAATTTTCCTTCCTCATGATGCCATCTATTTTGTGAAGTGCACCAGTCCCTCCTGCAGCAAAGCACCCCCACAGCATGATGCTACCACCCCCGTGCTTCACGGTTGGAATTGTGTTCTTCGGCTTGCAAGCCAACCCCTTTTTCCTCCAAACATAACGATGTTCATTATGGCTAAACAGTTTTATTTTTGTTTCATCAGACCAGAGGACATTTCTCCAAAAAGTACAATCTTTGTCCCCATGTGCAGTTGCAAACCGTAGTCTGGCTTTTTTATGGTGGTTTTGGAGCAGTGGCTTCTTCCTTGCTGAGCGGCCTTTCAGGTTATGTCGATATAGGACTCGTTTTACTGTGGATATAGATACTTTTGTACCTGTTTCCTCCAGCATCTTCACAAGGTCATTTGCTGTTGTTCTGAGATTGATTTGCACTTTTCGCACCGAAGTACGTTCATCTCTAGGAGACAGAACGCGTCTCCTACCTGAGCGGTATGATGGCTGCATGGTCCCATGGTGTTTATACTTGCATACTATTGTTTGTACAGAAGAACGTGGTGCCTTCAGGCGTTTGGAAATTGCTCCCAAGGATGAACCAGAATTGTGGAGGTTTTACAATTTTTGGCTGATTTTCTTTTGATTTTCCCATGATGTCAAGCAAAGAGGCACTGAGTTTGAAGGTAGGCCTTGAAATACATCCACAGGTACACCTCCAATTGACTCAAATGATGTCAATTAGCCTATTAGAAGCTTCTAAAGCCATGACATCATTTTCTGGAATTTTCCAAGCTGTTTAAAGACACAGTCAACTTAGTGTATGTAAACTTCTGACCCACTGGAATTGTGATACAGTGAATTGTAAGTGAAATAATCTGTCTGTAAACAATTGTTGGAAAATTTACTTGTGTCATGCACAAGGTAGATGTCCTAACCGACTTGCCAAAACTATAGTTTGTTAACAAGAAATTTGTGGCGTGATTGAAAAATGAGTTTTAATGACTCCAACCTAAGTGTATGTAAACTTCCGACTTCAACTGTATGTGTGGATATGCCAACTACAATATTCACCCACATCCATTCTGACTGTTGTCAAAGATGGTTCTGAGTTTGGATGGATGTGAGTGTATTGTATGTGGATGTGTGTGTGTGTGTGTGTGTGTGTGTGTGTCTCACAAGTTTCACTTTAAAAGTGTTTACAGCATATAGATGGTCCTGTGTGGCTCAGTTAGTAGAGCATGGTGCTTGCAATGTCAGGATTGTGGGTTCGATTCCCACGGGGGACCAGTATGAAAAAGTATGAAAAGGTATGCACTCACTACTTTAAGTCACTCTGGATAATAGTGTCTGCTAAATGACTTAAAATGTAGATGGAGCAACCGAAATAGACATTTAAATAACATATATTTCTAAGCTGGTACCCCACTGAAATAGTCCATTAGCTATTTTATCCATGCTGAGATGTGCTGTCATTTCATATAAGCCTGGGTTCTTAGTCATGTCCCAGTGTTTTGAAGGCATCCTAAAATAGCGGGATCTGATGCAGTTAGCGCTGCAGTGCCTTCACTTCCTGCATCAATATATTTACTGTAGACACTACAGCCTCCACCAGCACACAGCCTAATAGTGATCAAAACAAGTTCTATCATGTTTACCATCTGCATGAATTTGAAATTATGTAATGTGTTGGTGTCTATATCCTGAGATTAAAATCGGCAGTATTGGCCTGGTAGCCATGTCTGTTTCTGCTTAAGCTACCATCTCTATTGTTGTACAGCATGACAACAACATGTCAGAGGAGTTGGCTAAAGCACAAACAGATCTAGCCACCAGGCTAATTCTTTATGGCTTGATCATGTATCTCAACCGGCCGTGATCGGGAGTCCCGTAGGACGGCGCACAATTGGCCCAGCTTCGTCCGGGATAGGGGAGGCTGGGGTAGGCCGTCATTGTAAATAAGAATATTTTTTGGTTTTTTTTAATGTAATAATGAACATGGAACTGATCGGCTGACAATGTGATTGACAGGTGAGGACTTTGAGGTGGTGCAGCAGGAGATCATCATGATGAAGGACTGCAAACACTCCAACATCGTGGCCTACTTCGGTAGCTATCTCAGGTAAGACTGACATACTGATAGATCAGGTATGGATAGACAATACATCTCTCTGTAGTTGGACTAAAATAATACAGCTATTTCAGGTTGCTATGCCAGAAATGGACTATGTTGTAATTTTCGGTGGAGCAAATTTTCAAGTACAGCTAAAACGTCCATCTTTGGTCTAATCGAGTCCTGTTGTCTGACCTGATGCTGTGAGTAGGGCTGGGCGATATGGCCTAAAACTCCTATCTCTATTTTCAAACTTATGGGCGATTCACGATATGTATCTCCATTATTATTATTTTTTAATGATTTCTCTAAATCAGCTTTGTTGTACAATTAAAGGTCAAATACACTGCATTTAAAACAGGTCAGCAATAATCTAATGAATTCAGAGTTTGTGAAATTATACCTAGGCTGAATATATGCCTTCCACAAACATAAGACCCACAGATAATGTAATTATTTTATCAAAATAGTTGTACATGCTTTTTTTGCAATAATCACTGATCTGGCTTTCAGGTCTGTCTATAAAAATGACCTTTTTGTTACAAATTTAACCAGAACCATGCATAATGCACATTCACTAATAATGTACCAGGCATTATAGAAAATGAACACGGGTCTCATAAGCAATCTCTCAAGCACAAGCCCACGTGCTAGTGAGTAGCCAGCTAATATTTATATTTAAAGTTTAGCCAACTTAGATCTAGGTATAATTTCACAAGCTCTGAATTCAGCTAACAAGGCAAACCAGTTGAATTGTTATGAACACAACCTCATCTTTGTTGTTGTGAGTGGGAGGAGCTTGGGAGAAGGAGGCGAAGCGAGAGGTTTCACTCTCGCAAAAATCGGTCCAAAATATGCCCAATGCGTTTCTATGGGCTTATTTTGGACCTAAGCGTGTCGCCTGCCTTCCCAGCTTTGGGACAACGACTCCCATTGTTAGGGCGGAGACATGAGCATCTTGTCATCATATTCAGATCTCTGGTGTCAATGGGAAGGTGCACGGCACAGAAGGAGCAAACGAGACGAGACCAAAAAGACAACATGAGAACAAGAGGACATAAACGCTCATAAAAAAACGAAAAATACAAAAAAACTTGATTATGCGATACAGGCATTTGGAATATCGCGCAAAAACATACATTCTAATTAATCGAATTAATTTGATATTTCGTCCAGCCCTAGCTGTGAGTCTTGCATTCCCTGTCTTGTGGTCTGTTGAGGGATATTGACAGTGAGTGTATCACTTCCCTTCTCCAGGAGAGATAAATTATGGATCAGCATGGAGTACTGCGGAGGAGGATCTCTGCAGGATATTTATCATGGTAGGATACACACACAGTCTCTCAAGCACACACACATTCCCACACTCACAAACTTGCTGTGTTTTCATCTAAAAACAGACCATGAAGCACAATAAATGAAAGCTTGTTGCAATCAATATCCACTCTTTTCACTCTCCCACTTAAGCCATCATAGCCAGCTAGCCAGAACAGTAAATAACACTCTAAGTGAAACAACTGGTGTTAAACTCTAAATTATGTATGAAATGCTTGAGATACATTGGATTGCTCTTAAACTCTGCCCTCATCTCTTCCTCCCTCCTCTCCCTCCTGTCCAGTGACTGGGCCTCTGTCTGAGTCTCAGATTGCGTATATGTCACGGGAAACCCTTCAGGTGTGTTTTTTTCCTTGCTGCCAGTGCCATGTGAATCTATGGGTCAGATCGAATAAGAATGTGTTTGTGATTTGTTTATTTCCTTACTTACAGGGTTTGTACTATCTCCACAACAAAGGCAAAATGCACAGAGACATTAAGGTAAGGCCATGTCAATGATAGTAATAAGCTTTTAAGTAGAGATGATTTCCTTTCACTCCTTACTCATCTTTACAAAATATCTCTGAAATGTTGATGTTAATTTTTGCCTGACCCTATTACCTTTCCTCATAGGGAGCAAATATTCTATTGACAGACAACGGCTATGTGAAATTAGGTAAGGCCATGGACAACCACTACTTTCCCCTCAACCAGAGTTCCCAAAGCCTCACCTTGACTATCTATTAGAATGAGATCTCACAATACTTCTTATTTTTTGCTCATTTTCCTTCTCTCCCTCTCGCTCCTTAGCGGACTTTGGTGTATCAGCACAGATCACTGCCACGCTGGCTAAGAGGAAGTCCTTCATTGGAACACCATACTGGTGAGCTTCTCCCCTGGTTCCTCCCCTCAGTGTCATACTCTGGATAGGCTCTGACATAATGTTATGGTTTATTGACTTATTGATCTAAGGATGTAACAGACCATTCATATTGCTTTGGACAGTGTTATGATGGTAATTTATTGACTTGAATGATTGTTGGTCTATGACTGATGTTATCTCCGAGTGGCGCAGTGTTCTAAGGCACTGCATCGCAGTGCTAGCTGGGCCACTAGAGATCCTGGTTCGAATCCAGGCTCTGTTGTAGCCGGCCTTGACCGGGAGACCAATGGGGTGGCGCACAATTGGCCCAGCGTCGTCCAGGGTAGGGGAGGGAATGGCCGGCAGGGATGTAGCTCAGTTGGTAGAGCATGGCGTTTGCAACGCCAGGGTTGTGGGTTCGATTCCCACGGGGGGCCAGTATGAAAAATAGAAAAAATAATGTATGCACTCACTTAACTGTAAGTCACTCTGGATAAGAGCGTCTGCTAAATGACTAAAATGTAAATGTAAAAATGTTAAGTACTCTGTTTTTTCCTTTTGTCTCTCTCGCCTCGCTCCCTCCCTCCTCTCATCCTATCAGGATGGCTCCAGAGGTGGCAGCCGTGGAGAGGAAGGGGGGCTACAACCAGCTGTGTGATATCTGGGCCGTGGGCATCACAGCTATCGAGCTGGCTGAGCTGCAGCCTCCCATGTTTGACCTGCACCCCATGAGGTGAGTCTGTGCAGGGGGATGTGTGAATGAAGCCTTGTGACTGTGATGCTGGATATTTATTTAAGCAAAAATGCACGAGGCGGTGTGGTATATGGCCAATATACCACGGCTAAGGGCTGTTCTTAGCTGTTCTAAGGGATGGATACAGCCCTTAGCCATGGTACACTGCTCAAAAAAATAAAGGGAACACTAAAATAACACATCCTAGATCTGAATGAATGAAATAATCTTATTAAATACTTTTTTCTTTACATAGTTGAATGTGCTGACAACAAAATCACACAAAAATTATCAATGGAAATCAAATGTATCAACCCATGGAGGTCTGGATTTGGAGTCACCCTCAAAATTAAAGTGGAAAACCACACTACAGGCTGATCCAACTTTGATGTAATGTCCTTAAAACATGTCAAAATGAGGCTCAGTAGTGTGTGTGGCCTCCACGTGTCTGTATGACCTCCCTACAACGCCTGGGCATGCTCCTGATGAGGTGGCGGATGGTCTCCTGAGGGATCTCCTCCCAGACCTGGACTAAAGCATCCGCCAACTCCTAGACAGTCTGTGGTGCAACGTGGCGTTGGTGGATGGAGCGAGACATGATGTCCCAGATGTGCTCAATTGGATTCAGGTCTGGGGAACGGGCGGGCCAGTCCATAGCATCAATGCCTTCCTCTTGCAGAAACTGCTGACACACTCCAGCCACATGAGGTCTAGCATTGTCTTGCATTAGGAGGAACCCAGGGCCAACCGCACCAGCATATGGTCTCACAAGGGGTCTGAGGATCTCATCTCGGTACCTAATGGCAGTCAGGCTACCTCTGGCGAGCACATGGAGGGCTGTGCGGCCCCCCAAAGAAATGCCACCCCACACCATGACTGACCCACCGCCAAACCGGTCATGCTGGAGGATGTTGCAGGCAGCAGAACGTTCTCCACGGCGTCTCCAGACTCTGTCACATGTGCTCAGTGTGAACCTGCTTTCATCTGTGAAGAGCACAGGGCGCCAGTGGCGAATTTGCCAATCTTGGTGTTCTCTGGCAAATGCCAAACGTCCTGCACGGTGTTGGGCTGTAAGCAAAACCCCCACCTGTGGACGTCGGGCCCTCATACCACCCTCATGGAGTCTGTTTCTGACCGTTTGAGCAGACACATGCACATTTGTGGCCTGCTGGAGGTCATTTTGCAGGGCTCTGGCAGTGCTCCTCCTGCTCCTCCTTGCACAAAGGCGGAGGTAGCAGTCCTGCTGCTGGGTTGTTGCCCTCCTACGGCCTCCTCCACGTCTCCTGATGTACTGGCCTGTCTCCTGGTAGCGCCTCCATGCTCTGGACACTATGCTGACAGACACAGCAAACCTTCTTGCCACAGCTCGCATTGATGTGCCATCCTGGAGGAGCTGCACTACCTGAGCCACTTGTGTGGGTTGTAGACTCCATCTCATGCTACCACTAGAGTGAAAGCACCGCCAGCATTCAAAAGTGACCAAAACATCAGCCAGGAAGCATAGGAACTGAGAAGTGGTCTGTGGTCACCACCTGCAAAACCAGTCCTTTATTGGGGGTGTCTTGCTAATTGCCTATAATTTCCACCTGTTGTCTATTCCATTTGCACAACAGCATGTGACATTTATTGTCAATCAGTGTTGCTTCCTAAGTGGACAGTTTGATTTCACAGAAGTGTGATTGACTTGGAGTTACATTGTGTTGTTTAAGTGTTCCCTTTATTTTTTTGAGCAGTGTATATTGGCCATATAGGTGCCTTATTGCTGTTATGAACTGTTTACCAACGTACTTAGAACAGTAAAAATAAATGTTTCGTCATACCCAGGGCTCGAAGCACCCAGTTTATAATGTACTTTGTTCTAGAAACTAAGTCTGTTTTCTTTCTTCCCAGGGCCCTTTTCTTGATGACAAAGAGTAATTTCCAGCCGCCCAAATTGAAAGACAAAGTGAAATGGTAAGGGTTCACTTCTCCTCTGTGACTAGTGAGGAAAGTGTTTAATTCTCAGTTTAACCATTTTCTATTCATATTATAAACATAAATGCTCTAACATGTATCTATCTTTTCTATCTCTTCCTATGAAAGGGGAAATAATTTCCATCATTTTGTCAAATTGTCCCTGACGAAAAATCCCAAGAAGAGGCCAACAGCAGAGAAACTATTACAGGTACTCCCAGTCTAGAGGGAAACACTAGAAATGAGTCTCTGTCAAGAAAACATGTTCATCTGCCAATCATTGATTAGCAGTTCAGAGCAGTGGAAATGTAATGGCAATCCTGTAGGCCAGGGTTCTTCAATCCTGGTCCTGGAGGGCCGAGACACCTCTGTTTTTCATCCTCTCCTTCTAATCAGGGGCTAATTCAGACCTGGGACACCAGGTGAGTGCAATTAACTACCAGGTAGAAATAAAAAACAGAAGTGTTTCGGCCCTCCAGGACCAGGATTGAAGAACCCTGCTGTAGGCTGTGACCTCGCGTCCCCTTCCTGTGTCCACAGCACCCGTTTGTGTCACAGCCTCTCAGTCGAACCCTGGCCATCGAGCTGCTGGACAAATCCAACAACCCAGACCACACCACATACAACGACTTTGACGATGACGACCCAGAACCAGAGGTAGAGTCACCCCCCACCCTAACCTACAACTCCAACCTCTATATCTCTTCAGGTTTCTCAAATCTAATAGCAGGATGAAGACTGACACCTGTCCTCATTGCTCTCGACGCATTCAGTTCGTACAATCATGCTGATCTCTTAACTATCAGAGTTCTACATCTTTCCTCTCTCGTTCCTCCCTCCTCCATTACCCCTCTCTCTGCTCTTCTTCCTCCTCTTCCTCAGTTTAAATATAGAGGCCACTTCCTTCCCATCAGCCCTGGTGCTCGGCGAGCACCTCACTTTGCCATGCGCAAGAAGGTACCAGTGTGGCCTACATTAGAACTGCACCAGTATCACCGTGATCAGTACCTGTAGTAACAGAGAACTAACTAACACTGGTCTGTGTGTGCTCAGATAGACTGGACTGGGTCTTGTCATTGAACCCCGCTTATGGAGTTGCTGTTACTTCATTTGTTAAATGTATCTGCATGTGGGATTTTGAAGTGTTTTGGGTGTGTTTTAGGCATGAGTAGGGACACAGTTAAACTGTGAGAATAAGTTAAGATGAAAAAAAATGTGTTTGTTTGTTACATGCATATCTTCTATTATGTATGTACATTAATTTGTTAAAGCTAATGCTAACAAGCTTGTGATTTGTCTAGCTAGGCCAAGGGTGTGTGTAGTGCATAAACATACATATAGAAACTAGAGCTTGTTTGGTATGCCGAGGTGAGGTCAAACTGAGGTGACAAATGGTGGCACACCACTCTTCTTTTCACCTCATTTGACACGAGATGTACTTAACAAAAGGCACATCTCAATAGGTGGTCCAGGTATGCCATGACATGGCACAAGTGGGGGGTGGGCCTTTCCTCTTTTGTTCTCTATTGCTCCTCTATTGTTCATCAAGCAAGGGGGAGGCTGATGACATCACGACTTCCCAACAAGCCAACTCCTTGAATGCCCTACTCCTTGAAATTTGCAGTTGTCTAAAAAACACTATTTTGCACTTATTCTTATTTACCCTTTAGTGTGTGTAATTTACTTTATTTGCACTTGGGATATCGCTTTTCAACAGGAAAGGTTAAAAAAAATCACTGAAGGATGTCTTTAAGTACAGTGGGGAAAAAAAGTATTTAGTCAGCCACCAATTGTGCAAGTTCTCCCACTTAAAAAGATGAGAGAGGCCTGTAATTTTCATCATAGGTACACGTCAACTATGACAGACAAAATGAGATTTTTTTTCCCAGGAAATCACATTGTAGGATTTTTAATGAATTTATTTGCAAATTATGGTGGAAAATAAGTATTTGGTCACCTACAAACAAGCAAGATTTCTGGCTCTCACAGACCTGTAACTTCTTCTTTAAGAGGCTCCTCTGTCCTCCACTCGTTACCTGTATTAATGGCACCTGTTTGAACTTGTTATCAGTATAAAAGACACCTGTCCACAACCTCAAACAGTCACACTCCAAACTCCACTATGGCCAAGACCAAAGAGCTGTCAAAGGACACCAGAAACAAAATTGTAGACCTGCACCAGGTTGGGAAGACTGAATCTGCAATAGGTAAGCAGCTTGGTTTGAAGAAATCAACTGTGGGAGCAATTATTAGGAAATGGAAGACATACAAGACCACTGATAATCTCCCTCGATCTGGGGCTCCACGCAAGATCTCACCCCGTGGGGTCAAAATGATCACAAGAACGGTGAGCAAAAATCCCAGAACCACACGGGGGGACCTAGTGAATGACCTGCAGAGAGCTGGGACCAAAGTAACAAAGCCTACCATCAGTAACACACTACGCCGCCAGGGACTCAAATCCTGCAGTGCCAGACGTGTCCCCCTGCTTAAGCCAGTACATGTCCAGGCCCGTCTGAAGTTTGCTAGGGTGCATTTGGATGATCCAGAAGAGGATTGGGAGAATGTCATATGGTCAGATGAAACCAAAATAGAACTTTTTGGTAAAAACTCAACTCGTCGTGTTTGGAGGACAAAGAATGCTGAGTTGCATCCAAAGAACACCATACCTACTGTGAAGCATGGGGGTGGAAACATCATGCTTTGGGGCTGTTTTTCTGCAAAGGGACCAGGACGACTGATCCGTGTAAAGGAAAGAATGAATGGGGCCATGTATCGTGAGATTTTGAGTGAAAACCTCCTTCCATCAGCAAGGGCATTGAAGATGAAACGTGGCTGGGTCTTTCAGCATGACAATGATCCCAAACACACCGCCCGGGCAACGAAGGAGTGGCTTCGTAAGAAGCATTTCAAGGTCCTGGAGTGGCCTAGCCAGTCTCCAGATCTCAACCCCATAGAAAATCTTTGGAGGGAGTTGAAAGTCCGTGTTGCCCAGCGACAGCCCCAAAACATCACTGCTCTAGAGGAGATCTGCATGGAGGAATGGGCCAAAATACCAGCAACAGTGTGTGAAAACCTTGTGAAGACTTACAGAAAACGTTTGACCTGTGTCATTGCCAACAAAGGGTATATAACAAAGTATTGAGAAACTTTTGTTATTGACCAAATACTTATTTTCCACCATAATTTGCAAATAAATTCATAAAAAATCCTACAATGTGATTTTCTTGATTTGTTTTCCTCATTTTGTCTGTCATAGTTGACGTGTACCTATGATGAAAATTACAGGCCTCTCTCATCTTTTTAAGTGGGAGAACTTGCACAATTGGTGGCTGACTAAATACTTTTTCCCCCCACTGTATGTAGTATGTAAATGTCTATGTGTTTGGTCTCAGAAGAAGACTGGTAATCTGCATTTGTTGTTGTTGCTAAGACATCGCTTGCTGCTTTGCGTTGCCATGGTTTAATTGCCTGTTTTCAATGTGGTCTGTCTTTGTTGTGTTCTGTTGCTGCCGTGGAGGTTGTTGTGACTGTCTGGGTCATTGTTCTCATTTTCCCTGACTCATACACTATATATACAAAAGTATGTGCACATCCCTTCAAATTAGTGGGTTCGGCTATTTCAACCAAACCCGCTGCTGACAGGTGTATAAAATTGAGTACACCGCCATGCAATCTCCATAGACAAACATTGGCAATAGAATGGCCTTACTGAAGAGCTCAGTGACTTTCAACGTGGCACCGTCATAGGATGCGTGGTCCTCTGTAGCTCAGCTGGTAGAGCACGGCGCTTGTAACGCCGAGGTAGTGGGTTCGATCCCCGGGACCACCCATACACAAAAAATGTATGCACGCATGACTGTAAGTCGCTTTGGATAAAAGCGTCTGCTAAATGGTATATTATTATTTATTATTATGCCACCTTTCCAACAAGTCAGTTCGTCACATTTCTGCCCTGCTAGAGCTGCCCCGGTCAACTGTAAGTGCTGTTATTGTGAAGTGGAAATGGCTAGGAGCAACAACGGCTCAGCCGCGAAGTGGTAGGCCACACAAGCTCACAGAACCGGACCGCCGAGTGCTGAAGCGCGTAAAAATCGTCTGTCCTCGGTTGCAACACTCACTACCGAGTTCCAAACTGCCTCTGGAAGCAATGTCAGCACAATAACGGTTTGTCGAGAGCTTAATGAGATGGGTTTGCATGGCCGAGCAGCCGCATACAAGCCTAAAATCGGTGTGGAAGAACTTCAACAACTTTGGAAAGCTGACTGCGAGCCAGGCCTAATCGCCCAACATCAGTGCCCAACCTCACTATTGCTCTCGTGGCTGAATGGAAGCAAGTCCCCGCAGCAATGTTCCAACATCTAGTGGAAAGCCTTCCCAGAAGAGTGGAGGCTGTTATAGCAGCAAAGGGGGGACCAACTCCATATTAATACCCATGATTTTGGAATGAGATGTTCGACGAGCTGGTTTCCACATACTTTTGGTCATGTAGTGTAGGTCAGAGGTCAGAACGGGTTAAGTCCCTTCTCACCCTAAAAAACAGATTGGGTTTGAGACTCCTGTAGATTATGAAAACATACAGTGTATTCAGAAAGTATTCAGACCCCTTCCCCAGCCTTATACAAAAATAATAATAATCCTCATCAATCTACACACAATACCCCACAATAACAGAGCGAAAACAGGTTTTTAGAATGTTTTTGTACTTTATTAAACATTTAAAACAGATACTTTATTTACACAAGTATTCAGACCCTTTGCTATGCGACTTGAAATTGAGCTCAGGTGCATCATGTTTCCATTGATCATCCTTGAGATGTTTCTACAACTTGATTGGAGTCCACCTGTGGTAAATTCGATTGATTGGACATGATTTGGAAAGGCACACCTGTCTATATAAGGTCCCACAGTTGACAGTGCATGTCAGAGCAAAAACCAAGTAATGAGGAATTGTCCGTAGTGTTCCGAGACAGGATTGTGTCGAGGCACAGATCTGGGGAAGGGTACCAAAACATTTCTGTAGCATTGAAGGTCCCCAAGAACACAGTAGCCTCCATCTTTCTTAAATGGAAGAATTTTGGAACCACCAAGACGCTTCCTAGAGCTTGCTGCCCGGTCAAACTGAGCAATTTTGGAAGAAGGGCCTTGGTCAGGGAGGTGAACAAGAACCCGATTGTCACTCTGACAGAGCTCCAGAGTTTGTCTTTGGAGATGGGAGAGCCTTCCAGAAGGACAACAATCTCTGCAGCACTCCAACAATCAGGCCTTTATGGTAGAGTGGCCAGATGGAAGCCACTCCTCATTAAAAGGCAGATGACAGCCCACTTGGAGTTTGCCAAAAGGCGCCTAAAGACTCAGACCATGAGAATCAAGATTATCTGGTCTGATGAAACTAAGATTGAACTCTTTGACCTGAATACCAAGCTTCATGTCTGGAGGAAACCTGGCACCATCCCTACGGTGAAGCATGGTGGTGGTGGCAGCATCATACTGTGGGGATGTTTTTCAGCAGAAGGGACTGGGAGACTAGTCAGGATTTGAGGGAAAGATGAATGGAGCAAAGTACAGAGAGACCCTTGATGAAAACCTGCTCCAGAGCACTCAGGATCTCAGACTGGGGTGAAGGTTCACCTTCCTACAGGACAACAACCCTAAGCACACAGCCAAGACAGCGCAGGAGTGGCTTTGGGACAAGTCTCTGAATGTCCTTGAGTGGCCCAGCCAGAGCCCGGACTTGAACCCGATTTAAAATCTCTGGAGAGACCAGAAAATAGCTGTGCAGCAACACTCCCCATCCAACCTGACAGAGCTTGAGAGGATCTTCAGAGAAGAATGGGAGAAACTCCCCAAAGTAAAGGGCCTGAATACTTATGTAAATGTGATATTTCCGTACATTTTTAATACATTTGCAAAACAAATCTAAAAAACTGTTTTTGCTTCATCATTATGGGGTATTGTGGGTAGATTGATGAGGGGGAAAAAACAATTGAATCAATTTTAGAATAAGGCTGTAACGTAACAAAATGTGGAAAAAAATTAAGGGGTCTGAATAATTTCCGAATGCACTGTATCAAATATATATTTTCGAGACAGGAATATCTATTGGATGATCAGTACTCTCCTTTCCTCTCAATGAGAGATATGTTTTTTGTTGTTTATTTTACTATGAAGCGAAGTTTGCACAGGAATTAATAAGACTACAGTTATTGGACTGAGGGTTGCATTATGAGTGAGGGAAAGGTTATTTGTGCGTGATGATGATCTTGGCTGTTAAGGTTGTATGTTTTGTTTTCTTCCTGACAGTCTCCAGTGTCTGTTCCCCATCGGATTCGCTCCACCAGCAGGAGCACCAGGGAAGGGAAGACGCTGTCTGAGATCAACTGTAAGTTTCTATATGTGTGGCTAAGGGCTGTTTTCCCGGACCCAGATTGAGCCTACTCCTGGACTACAAATCATGCTTAGTGGGGAATCATCAGGACACACACACACACACACACACACTCCCCTGTTAGAGCACCTCGGCACTCTCACTCATCTCTCTACCTGCAGCTGTACAGTTAAACTTCAAATCCTATTAGAACACCAGTCAGCTCAGACAGGTTAATGTTCCTTACTAAAGTGCATGGCTGATGTTCCTCTCTCTTCCTCTCTTTCCCCTCTCCCTCCCTCCCTCTTTCTTTCTGTCGTCTCCCCTCCCCCTCCCTCTTTCTTTCTGTCATCTCCCCTCCCTCCCTCTTTCTTTCTGTCATCTCCCCTCCCTCCCTCTCTCTAATTGTATCTCTCTCTCTCTCTCTCTCTCTCTCTCTCTCTCTCTCTCTCTCTCTCTCTCTCTCTCCCTCTCTCTCTCTCTCTCTCTCTCTCTCTCCCTCTCTCTCTCCCTCCCCACTCTATAATTGTATCTCTCTCACTCTCACTCTCTCTCACCCCCCCCCCCCCCCCCCCCCCCCCCCCCCCATCAGTTGGACAGGTGAAGTTTGACCCTCCGCTGAGGAAGGAGACAGAGCCCCATCATGAGCCGGTGAGTAACCTGGTACTGCAGTGTCCCCCTGATACCACTGTGGCTGAACCCTGTGTGTAGGGGACAGTGCCTTAACAGGGGAAACCCCCATTGACAGGCCCCCTTAGTTGAGACTCTGCTGCAGTTTAAATCACAGTCACAATTCCTGCATATCTCATGTCATCCATATGATCTATCTCCCAGTGTAGCATATTTCTTGACTTTGTCTCCTAAATTTGTCTGAATGCGACTCACTCTGGTACTAACCTGCACCCCTGGCTGATGTTTCAGCATGGCCACCCCGCTTCTCTCCCCCCACTCTCATCCCTCACTCCCTACCTCTCTTACCCATCCTCCTCTCCCATGCTTTAATCCCTTTCTCTGATTGGATGGCATTAACTTTTAATTAACGAGTCTTTCTCATTCTGCCTGCTGAACAGCCCGACTCTGACCCTTTTTTGGACTGTGCAGAAGAGCTGTACTACACTGCGAGATCTAATCTGGTATTTTCCCACAACTCTCCATTTCTTCTTCTGGGTCGTCTCTCTGCTTCTTAACGCTTAACCGTCCTCTTTCAGTTCGCCTTTCATGTCTCTTTCGTGGTTCTTTTCAGTGACTACGTTTATTGGATGTCAGTAACTGTTTGTGCATTTGCATCTGTGAAGCTGTCTTCGCCTCATTGGCCGGTGTTGTTTTCATTGTTATTCCTGTCTTATGTTGTTTTTACTGCATGGCCTTTGGAGGGATTTAGGGACAGGGATATCTCTGTATAGCATATGGGTGGATGAACCTCTTCTTGGGGAAAACCTGTGTGACTGACTTGGACCCCTGAGGCCATGGCCTATTAGAGCAGGAACAGATCAAGCCCTAAGCTGCCATTACCGGTCCCCCCCTTTCTCCTTCTGCCCAAATATTATCACTGACTCAGACGACTGACTCTAGTCACAGTTAAACTTAGACCTCTTATTCCTTTGTCTCATATACATACTGGGGAATGTATTGATGTGATGTGAGGCAGCAGGATATGGCAGTTTTTCAGCATAAGTAAGAATATGTTAGCCGAGCTCTCTTTGGCTCAATGTAGTATGGATATGTCAGTTTGCGGTGTGTTGGCCTATAGGAGTCAGGGTCTGTCACTTGGCTGTGAAGGGTGAATAGGGGTATCTATATCCTCGCTGGAAAATCAATATGTCCACTGAGCTGATGGACCCGCAGTGTCAGCCAATGACACTGTTCAGTAAAGTCAGTCGCATTGCTGCAGTGCGCACACACACACACACACACACACACACACACCATAAAATCCACCCATACCTTTGCAACTAGTTCGTCTGAGATACTTCTGTATGGCCACTTGCACTACTACACCTTCACATAGTGTTTATGTTTTCCATTCATATCATTCACATGGCATATTCATCTAGTCATGGACGGCATGTAGCCTAGCGGTTAGAGCGTTGGGCTAGTAACTGGCTCCAGGGTTGCCATTAAAAATGGCAGACCTTGGCCGCCATTCTCCGAGGGTGTCTCAGGGAGAGTTGAGATATGCAAAAAAAACATTTACAATTCACATATGCGTACACTTGTACAATAGGACAGAAATAGGAGAAATATAAGCACTCACCAAATTATCATTAATCTATTTGTTACAGATCCATAATGCATAATGCTGTCATATCCTCTGACTTTTATCACACATGCACATTAGAAACATCTATTGTAAATCGAAGTAGTGTTTCTCTAAGCAGCATCAGTGGTGACCTGTAGTGTCCTCGGCTCTCTGTGGGCGCTGTCTGCCAGCCCCAAGGTTGTTATTCTCACGTAGTCAAGGTCCTGTATGACCTGTTCATGAGTGTTATCAATGTGACCTGGGAGTCATTGAGGTTACACCACTCTCTGCCTTCTCTCTCCACAGAATCTCTAAGTGTTTTCTGGTGTTTTTAGGTGTGGTGTGTATGTGTGTCTCAGCTGTAATATAGTAGATGCCGTACTGTAGGTAACCTCAGCCATGGTGCCTTTCCACATTGAGTGTGTGTCATTGTGTTTCAGAAACAATCATGTAATTTTGATGTGTGTCTCTCTAGGATCTTCAACTGGAGTATGGACAGGAATCTCCAAGCCTAATGGGAGGAAACAAGTAAGTCACTTATTCTGGGTTTATACTTCTGATCCTCCCTCTCTCCGCCTTTCCTCCCCCTCCTCTATTCTTCCTCCCCCTTCCCTATGCTTTATCATCTTTATTCCCTATCTCCCCTCTCTACATCTCCTCCCGTTGTCTCTACAGCTCTCCTCTCTTCTTCTCTCAAATCTCCTTGCCTCCCCACTCTCTCCTCTCTTCTTCACATTCTATTTTCCTCACCTCCCCCGCTCTCCCTTCCTCCGGCCTTGGCCTCCCCCTCCCCCTCTCCTCTCCTCCTGTCTTATCTGTATAAAGGGATTAGCCCGAGCAGATGGTGGTGTGGTACTGAGACGTGGCTTCCTGTCAAGAGAAAGGCGTCTGATCATTTATTCATGACACCTTTCTTGGAACGCAGCTCAGCTCAGAAGAAGTGCGCTGTAAGCACTTTGTGTGAAATGACAGAGACAAAACTCGCTGCTGCTTAAACCATGTGTGTTTAGAATGATCTGCTCCATAAGCAGGATGCGGTGGAATGATAGATGGTTTGTTTTCATAAGAGTGTATGGAATAAATCAGGTGAGAGGATATTGAGAAGCCACTCAATACACCTGTCAGATTTGAGGCACTCTTAATCTTACTTACTTTGATCCCTGAACAATTTATGTCCACATTCCTTCACCCTTCTCTCACTGGACAGCCTCATAGGGTTTATATTCTCCATTTCTCTGTCATTCACGCCCACCTGCATACACAAACACAGTTGTATACACACAGCTGACCTGACAGCTTCACACATCCCAGGTGAGTGTACAGCTTTGAGTAGCTAAGGTCAATGTTGGATGGGTTGTGATATCCGCTCGGCTGGGATGAAACTCACGTACTCTCACACACGCCAACACGCTGAATGTATCTTCTGTGGTTTCCATGTGTTTTTGTCCTGTAGCATTAAAGAATGTCATGTTAACTTAGGTCAGAACCCCCCTCTGAGAAATACCGCCTTTACTCATGTCATGTGCGATTCTGCCGCTGAGTTATTTTATTTCTCCTCTCTTCTTCACTACTCCCTTGTTCATTTCACTCCTTATCTGACAGGAGTCTTCTCAAATCAGTGGAGGAGGAGCTTAAGCAGAGGTGAGTTAGGCCATGCCCTTCAGGGCTCCACCGGCAACTGCTCTGGTTTTTGATTCGCTGACGCGCCCTAACCGTGCCCCCACCCCATCAGCCAATCAGTGTTAACGCAGGACTAATCCAGCCAATCAGTGTCACGCAAAACTAATCTGCTCTGACTGCTGCAGTTATGGTTTGACTCGGCTTTGTTTTGTCCATTGCTGTTCAATGCTTACAAACAGGACCGGCTATGCTGTGTGATCACCAGACACAGTGCACTTCGACAAAGCATGGCTTATACACTGACTTAATCACTTAGTCTAAGCCTTATCTAGTTACGCAGTCTATAGTGAAATCACCCAGCCCTATAAGTAAGATGAGTAAAATTAGCGAAATATAGCATTTAGGTTTAGTTAGCCCTATTCCTATTACGTTTATTTCTATAGCCATGTAGTTCTTTCAACTCTACCTTTATGTAGTTTGTGTTGTTATTTTGTTCTGCTAGTAATGTAGTTGAGGTAATTTCCCCCAGTGTCTCCTCTCCCAGTGGGTAAAAGAAGAGAGCAGCTCTGACTTTCCCTCTTTGCCTTGCTGTGTGTCCCACTGAGCCGCTGCCCCCCCCCCCCCCCCCCCACCCGCACCAATCTATCTCCATCTCCTCAGGGGTCATATGGCACATTTAGAGACCGATGAGGATGATGATGGTGATGAAACTCAACAGTAAGTCCTTCTCGTGTTCTAGTCTAGCCGCCCTCTCTGAGGAGTAGGGGGGAGGAGGAAGGCTACCTCCAGTTTCATTCACGCATCTTCATGCCGCATGCCGCACCATCACACCGTGCTGTGCCTTAAGTGCCCTCCTGTTCTCCCTCCCTTACCAAAGACCCTGTCTCCGTCTTTCTCTGCGCCTCCGGTAGCCCTGCTTCCTCCCACAGATGACTTTGAGCTTTGGACTCAGACATGGGTCTTGTTCATTAGCTACATTAAGCAGAACTATGTTAAAGGTTCTGATGCATTTCAGGTTGTTTCCCCTAAGCAGTCTGGCTAACTGTGCTCCCATTTGCTTACATCTGTGAGATGATGAACCGTTGTCATGTTTGGGTTCAATGCTCACCATCTGTGCATCGCCGTGACCCCTGAGCCCTGCCCCCTGCCATTCCTTATCTGTTTCTTGATGTGTGTTCATCATTCTGTGCCACCTGCTTACATGCTTGCTGATCTCAGTGTGTGTTCATACCGCCTGTTTGCCATCTGCTCCCGATGTGTGGTTCTCTCTGCTTGTATCCACACCCCTCTGTCGCCATGGTTGTCTTGGGGTCCGTCCAACCCTCTTGGTTTAACCCTTTCCACCTGTTTAACCCTAGTGCCACTCTGAGGTTTGTGTTCTCTCATGGTGACTTGAACTTGTGACTCCATTTGATTGGTGCCATGTCTATGTCCGTCATGATTGAGGGGTTGATAGTGGTTACTGATTGGATCATACTGTACATACACATCACATTGGGCCTTCTGGATATCCTGTTCAAGGGAATGCTAACATTTTGTGTCAGTTGTCCTGTCAGTTGTGGTGTTTTCGGTGGTTGACGGACGCCTTTTGTTGTCATGTCCAACACTTGTCTGTTGTCTAACACTGTGTTGTGTGATATTAGACACTCCTGGGTTTGTAGTAGTCGTCTGTCACTGTTTGTCACTCTGCAATGTGACACTGTGTTAACACTTTTTTGGAAAATATGTTTTGTAACTGTCTATGTGGAACCTTGCCACTGTCTAACAAACCTAACCCACCTCAATCTCTCCCTCAAGCAAACACAGCACCATCATGAGGCCGAAAGTCCCACCCCCACTGCCCCCCAAGGTAGGACCACTAGCATATTATCATACTGCAGCGTTTTGGATCACAATCAAACAGAGACTACTATTTAGTGGAAAGGACCCTCAAGCAAAATTCAGAGTTGCAAACACCAATATTTTCTCTCAAAGCTAATTTAAACTATTGATATTAAATGTTTTATTTGTAAGATGGGAAACAGAGGTTGACAAAAGAGTAATAATAGGGCAAGCATTAATCAACCTCTAGAGATTGTTGTCAACCTTTTGTCTGTTTTTCTCTCTGTCTGTCTGTCTGTCTCTCTCTCTCTCTCTCTCTCTCTCTCTCTCTCTCTCTCTCTGTGTCTCTCTCTCTCCATTTTCTCTCCCTCCCTCCAGCCCAAGTCCATCTGTCTGCCCCAGGAGAGCCCGTCCCAGGGAGAGGATGATGGAGGGGGGACCATCAAGCGCTGCCCCGTACCTGAGAGCCCTGCCCGACCCACCTCCTCAAACGTACCCCCACGCCCTCCACCCCCACGCCTGCCCCCCCACAGACGCAGTAGCCTAGGTAACGAGAGCACACAGAGCCAGGCTGGCTCAGAGCCTGAGGGGAATGATGATGGGAGCTTTAGGCATTTCTGGGAGTGGCTTCATGCCCCGCACACAGAAGAGGAGTTGGAAGAGGTGTTGGATGGGTTGGAGGAGGATGATGATGAGGAAGAGGAGGATGAGAGTAAGGCCGGCCGATTGGTAGCCCCATAGCCTATCACCCTTCCCTGATTGGTTGTTAGTCCCATCAATCAGCGTCCGTAGTCTCGCGCCACCTCCCCATCCGTCCTTCCCTTCCTCCTTTCTTCTGTCCATCTGTGGATGTACATAGTGCAGTGTTGTTGCTGCAGCCATGTGACCCTGTCTGTTACCAAACGCCTGCCTCCTTCTCCCATTGTTGATATCACATGTTCACATGAAGCAATCAAAATGTAATCGAACTCTGAATGTAATCAAGCATTGGGAATGTGATGCACCATTCTCAGTCAGTGTGTTCGCATGGTCAAATCATTTAGTTTGATTACTGTTGTAATCCTATCAAAACATATTCCATTATTGATTAGTAGTGATTAGATTTGAGCATATACTGTATGTGTGTACATCTGTCAGTAGAACACTTACACTATTGATCTACTGTATGTCTAGAACTCTCACGCACATACACACAGTAGAACACAACACACACACACACACAGGCATGCACACACTCACCAAGATATGTGTAATAAACATGTTTCCCGCTGCAGGTAATGGATTGAGCTCTCACCAGAATGGAGAGAAGGACAGTGCTACTGAGAGGCAGTCCACCATGCCCCCTAGTGTCCCCATACGGAAAGACAAGAAGGACATTACGGTAATGCCACCTGATCCCGCACACTCACCTTATTAACAGTGACATTTCAATACATTCCCTTTTCTTTCACACTACGGCATCACCACACGGATCATTATTAAAGCTATTCATCAGTGACCATTCATCTAAAACGAATGTAGTCCAGTGATCATCGACCTTATCTGTCTCTCTCTGTATGTATCTCCCTCTCTTTTCAGAAGCCTATCAGTAATGGCCTCCCACCCACACCTAAGGTCCATGTGAGTATGATGCCTCCTTCTCTACAGACACACCATGAACTTACTGAAACATTATGAACCAAAGTCAAATAGGGGTTGCCCCCTAAAATTAAGCTTTCAAGACGAGAGCTTTGAAGAAAAATGACTATTGTGTTTGGCTTCCCTCCAACTTTCCAACCTCCATTCTCCTTGCTACTTAGATGGGGGCCTGTTTCTCCAAGGTGTTCAACGGCTGCCCGTTGAAAATCCACTGTGCCACGTCCTGGATCAACCCAGACACCAGAGGTAGGAAACTGGGAAAACAACGTAGTTTCACTTTTTACATCTTTATTATCATGACTTATTACATTAATCGTTGCCATTAAGATTATTTGGATTAACATGACTAATAGGCTCTTTCTTTTGTCTTTGTTTCAGACCAATATTTGATATTTGGTGCCGAGGAGGGAATCTACACTTTAAACCTGAATGAACTGCATGAGACGTCAATGGAGCAGGTTTGTTCTGGTTGAAGTAGCATCTGGTTCACAAGGTTTTATTTCTTCAGTGGAGGATTCTGAATGTTGTTATCAAATCTTCAACGGCTCTCTCCATCCCCTTCTGTCCCCAGCTCTTTCCCCGGCGATGCACTTGGCTTTATGTTATGAACAACTGCCTGCTCTCTATATCTGGTAAGACTATCTTGGACCTGTAGTGTCTTACCTTGCTGTTTGTTCTGTATCTAGTAATGGTTTTGCAGTATTTGACGTTTCTCTGCCAAAAAGGTTAACATTGAAGAGAGGTACTTACCTTTAAAACCTTGTCTCTGGAAAATTTGGAGGCAGGAATTTCTGTTTAAAAGATGTCTGCCCTTTCTGAAAATATAATCTTACCATGTGAAGTGTGTTTTGGAGGCAGACCTTTTCCCTTTTATTTTCTGTGTCATAAATTACCCTTTAAAGGTTTAGAAGTCTAGCTGAGAATATTATTTTGATATTGCTTTCAGGAAAAGCCTCCCAGCTCTACTCTCATAACTTAGCTGGTCTATTTGAGCATGCCCGGCAAATGCAGAAGTTACCCATGGCCATTCCCACACACAAACTCCCAGACAAAATGATTCCAAGGTATGATATCTGAGGCCTTTTCATTCATTTGGGTTTGAACTTGGGGGTGGGGGTTTAGGGGATACATAGAAAACTGATTTCTTGTTCCTTATGATCCTTATAGAAAGTTTGCCATATCCAATAAGATTCCAGACACAAAAGGGTGCCAAAAGTGCTGCGTAGGTGAGTGCTCATGAGCGTGGATCACCCATACGAAAATGTATGCACACACTACTGTAAGTTACTTTGGATGAAAGCGTCTGCTAAATGTATTATCAACTGCTGCATGGCATCATTCTTGACTTACGGTACAACTGAATAAGAGAAGTTGAGGATAGTTCTGAATAATGCACAAGACATCATATTGATAGAATATAGTTCAGAGAAAGATTGTGAGAGACCTTGAATGTGTTTGTTCGTGTGCAGTGAGGAATCCATACACGGGTCACAAGTACCTGTGTGGAGCGTTCCAGTCCAGTGTGGTTCTGCTGGAGTGGGTGGAGCCCATGCAGAAGTTCATGCTTATCAAGGTAAATCAGTGTTTGGGTCAGTTCAGGTCATTCTGGGGCGAACAGACGATTACTAGCCCACGCTGAAAGGGGTTAGAATGGGACCTATCTTGTTTGGATCAACTTAACACAGTCCTGTTTAGAAAGCTCATTCGATTAGCTACAGTAGCATGCTAACGTTGCTTGTCTCTAACAGGGTTCAAATTATTCATGTCATTACATAATAATGTGTAATTTCTTGTGTAACAGGATGCTTAATCTATCTCATCTGGTCTCTCCCGTAGAACATCGACTTCCCCCTGCCCTGTCCTCTGGAGGTGTTTGAGATGCTGGTGGTGCCGGATCAGCAGTACCCGCTCATCTGTGTGGCCGTCAGCAAGGGCACCGAGCTCAGCCAAGTGGTCCGCTTCGGCACGGTCAACCCCAACTCAACCTCCTCCTGGTTCACAGAGGCCGGTCAGTGGAACGTGGTCACAACGACGATGATGATGATGATGATGATGATGATTGATCCTGATGATGAGTTGTTTTTCTGTCCACTCAGATACGCCCCAGACTTGTGTCATCCACGTCACCCAGTTGGAGAGGGACACCATCTTAGTTTGTCTGGACAGTATGTTTTACCTCCCACCATCCACTGAACTAACCCAAATAATAATTGTATTCTCAATCAAAGGAGAAATTCCAGCTTGTGCATATGTTACTGCAACCATTATGCAGACCATTAACTATTTTCTGTGATCAGGGTGTATAAAGATAGTGAACCTACAGGGAAGGTTGAAGTCAAGCAGGAAGTTGTCTGCTGAGCTGACGTTTAACTTCCAGATTGAGGCGATAGGTACGTTTTCATAACCACGGCATTCACACTTCTACCCAGCCCAAAGAAACCAAAGACAGGGTTCTTATTTTTATATAATTCTTTATTTTTTATTATTATTTTTTATTTTTTATTTCAAAGACAGGGTTCTGTTGTGCTAAAGTTGGATATTTCCATCTAATGTGTATAGATCTCTATGCAGAAAGATAATTCGATATCCTGAGAATGTTTTTCCCGTGAAGCATTTATCTCAGCTCCTATCTGTGCTTTTTATGGTTCAGTGTAACACCCACATGTCTTTGCAGTGTGTCTCCAAGATAGCGTTCTGGCATTTTGGAGGCATGGTATGCAAGGGCGGAGTTTCAAGACCAATGAGGTAAGCTGAGGACGTGTAGGTGTGTGTATGTCTGAAAGGAGTTGTCTGTTTCTTTGTGTACACTGAGGGTAAAATAAATGCCCTGTCCCATCCCGGTCCTGTTTATAACTAAAAACCATTTCATTCTGTTGTATGTGTTTGAAAATGATCTAAAGTGTTCCTTTGTCTGTCTACACCCCAGATCACCCAGGAGATCTCTGATAACACACGGATCTTCAGACTGCTGGGATCTGACAGGTGAGTAAGGGGGTCTATGATGCTCAAGGTCACCTTATCTGACACACCTGTCTCAAGACATACTTACACACACTCACATACTTTGACCCCTTTCATTTTTACGCTGGCAATGATATTTTAAATATATATTTGACTTTTAGCTGTTTCACTTTTACACTGTCAATAATATTAACATGGATGTCGTCGTGATGCCCAGTTTGTTTTTTAATGGTCTACTGCAGTAGTATATAATCCTGATTGCCTGAAGTCTTTGTGGTTAGTTGTTGGTTGTGTTAGTTGTTGGTTTTATGCATGCTTGCTTGTCTCTTAATGGCTTGTTTGATTTTGTGAATGAAGAAACTCTCAGCACGACAGTTCAGGGCAGGAGGGAGCCGCCAATCTGCCCAGGTATACTCACTGCTCCCTGGGTCACTCCAGGCCTCGCCTAGCTTACAGGCTTTCTGATCTATGGATGTCCCCTGTGGGGACCCTGGATTTCATCCCATCTGTATGAGTGTGTGTATGAGTGTGTGTGTGAGAGTGTGGGTGCGTCCTGGGACTCTAATGCTCCTATTTTGTATCCCACCCATTGGTTTGGTGTTTATGATGCCATCTTCTTGTTTTTAAGACATTTGGTAAACACACTTTAAAGTCCAATTGTCCACTGTTTCCAGAATTTATTAAATATTACCTATAATTCATTAAAATATGAGTGAAATAGTTTTCCTTCCCAAAAAATTGTCATTAAGTATGTTAAAAAGCAGTTTTTCTGTGATTTGAATGGTGTGGGCGTATACCGGTCGTTAAAAATATAGGCCTCCCGAGTGGCGCAGTGTTCTAAGGCACTGCATCGCAGTGTTAGCTGTGCCACTAGAGATCCTGTTTCGAGTCCAGGCTCTGTCGCAGCCGGCCGCGACCGGGAGACCCATGGGGCGGCGCACAATTGGCCTAGCGTCGTCCAGGTTAGGGGAGGGTTTGGCTGGCAGGGATGTTCTTGTCCCATCACGCACTAGCGACTCCTGTGGCGGTCTGGGCATTGTGTCAAGAAGCAGTGCGGCTTGGTTGGGTTGTGTTTTGGAGGACGCATGGCTCTCGACCTTCGCCTCTCCCGAGTCCGTACGGGAGTTGCAGCGATGGGACAAGAATGTAACTACCAATTGGATACCACGAAATTGGGGAGAAAAAAATATAGATATTAATGCGAGTATACCACTGATTTGCCAGCTCATCCTCAATGAGGAAATAGCAAGCATTTTTTTAGTGTTTTTTTCCCTCCAAGTTATGCTTCTGCAATATTAAAGCTGATCTACCCCCTAATAAAGAATACAAAAGTTATGCTTTGGCAACAAATTAGTATAGGATTATTCAACAACATTTTGTTGGGTATGAGTTAACAGAATATTAACTTTTAAAAGTTAGATTTTCACTGGACAGTTACTTTAACACATCTCCCTCGATGTTGCCCCCTGCTGGATTACTCTGGTAACACCTCCTACTGCGAATAAACCTATGATCGAGGAAAGGGTACTCTGGTGGCCAGTGCATGGAAGTGTCAGGGTTTCTTTTTTTTCTTTTATTTAGCCTTTATTAAACTAGGCAAGTCAGTTAAGAACAAATTCTTATTTTACAATGTCGGCCTACCCCGGCCAAACCCTCCACTAACCCGGACGACGCTGGGCCAATTGTGTGCCGCCCTATGGGACTCCAGATCACAGCCAGTTGTGAAATAGCCCGGGATCGAACCAGGGTCTGTAGTGACGCCTCTAGCACTGAGATGCAGTGCCTTAGACCGCTGCGCCACTCGGGAGCCCTAATTCATATTCATAGAGTTGGAATGGATGCTTGGCAAGCTTACTGTTTTCTTGGGTCAGTCAACTACTTTGTTTCAGCACTTTGACCTTCTTAACACATATGGAATTTGTCAATAGGCTTGAGTAGGCTATTGGTAGGATTTGGGATGGTGTCTGTTGGTGTGTGAAAATGTGTTTTCTGTTTGTGAGGCTTACATTCGTAATCCTCCTGGTCCCCTCTGGGACATATACTAGCACAGTGTGAGTCTGAACTGAACCTGGCCTTGTGTGTTTCAGAGTGGTGGTGTTGGAAAGCAGGCCGACAGACAACCCCACAGCAGCCAGCAACCTCTACATCCTGGCTGGACACGAGAACAGCTACTGATCACATCCTGGGATCACAAGTCACTACAGACAGACAGACTACTGCTTTAGCTTCCCAGAAGACTGATCCTTCGAGGGTCAGCGTCCAACTTGCCTCTTACTTCCTTTAACACCTTTATTTATTGTGGCATGTAACAAAGACCCGGATGACTTCTCTATGATTTCATTTTAAAACGAAGTGTTGCCATCACTGCATCTTAACCCACACCACACAAGTGCTTAATTGACCTCTATTTAATTGTAAATATAAATGTAGTATTTTTTCGCAGAAAGGGAACCTGGCTACTCCGGGGTTGTACACTAAAGACTGGTCATGTAGATACGTGTGCATAGGTGTTCTGTACCGGTATGGAGACTGTAAAGATTTAAAGGGGTGGTTCAGGGGGTCAGTCTGAGCACTAAAAAGGACTTCCTGTTCTCTGATCATTAAAAATGACTTCCTGTTCTCTGATCATGTGATGAGGGACAGGATTTTAACCCCTCTCTGAGGTTTGGCTAAGTGTGAGCAACAAGGAAGTACCACTTACTGGTAATGTCATTCTGCACGCATCGTCATCCCAAATGTGGGAACTCCCTTTATAGTTTGCTTTGAGAAATATCTAATGGGAGATCAACAGTTTAATTCTTAGCTTCCATTTTTAACTCTGAGATGAACATTTCAAACTGTTTTAATTGCAGGCTTACCTCCCAGCTTAGTTGTATGCTTTTTTTAATACTGTGGAATCACTGGTGTTAAAATTTGCACAAAAAGGTATTTGAAAAGAAATGTGATGTTGTATGTAACTGTGTATGTGCGTGTAAACTTTAAGTATACATACATATGTTCTCACAAGCTGTGACACAGGGGTTGCATTAGGATATGTATAATTATTATAGAACACTCACTGAACATTACTGAAATACTATAATGAGACCGTGGAGGGAGAAATGTCAAAGGTCAAACACTTAAACAGGCTCCAGCGGTACTGTTTTAATCACCACAGTTTCATCATGTAATTCTCAATGATAATATCGATCATATACACTATAGTCAAATGGAGAAAACAAAACATTCCTTAATGTAGGGCTCAGTGAAGATGTAAAAATAATATAAATGTTACATTTTTTTATGTAATGCCAAAATGTGTTCTCGATTTATGGCCAAAATTAGTACAGTGTCTCTACCTCGTGCAATGTTAGGAAAAAAAAAAAGAAACGAGTTGTGTAGAAGAAGAAAAATAAGTAAAAACACTACAGGATTCATGTTGGTTTTAATTTACACAGTAAAAATGTGTACAAACTAACTCTTCCTTTCTGCCGCATTACCATTTTCATATTGCAATGCACATTATATGTATATAGTGTAAAATAAAATCTGTTGGTTTTACATACTGTATAATTGCCTATATTTTGTTTCAAATGTGTAACAGATTTATGAAACAAGTTAACGCATTAAAAGAAGGAACTGGAGACTATTGTGTCTGTTTGTCGTAGAGAAATATTGATGGAAATGCAAAATAAATGTTGAATATGTTTCGCATTGTATGGTTTGCAAGCTTGGTCAATAAGTGAAACATTTTTCAGAAGGAAGAACTGCTAGGCAGGCAATCTAATTTGTGTGATCGTTTTCAGACATTCTTGTTTGGTTATGATGTGGTATAACAAGTATTGATTACAACGTGGACTTGTCTTGATTGTCACAATTTCATTTATTTACAAAAAATAATTCCACATTAAAAATGAACATTCTTCTATTTTGATTTGGGGGATCGAGATTTTTTCCAATGATCATCTTGATGGCACTTTTTTTTTTTCTTTACCTACATTATTCCAGTTAATGAGTATACCGTATGCAAAATATATTTTCTCTAAGGATATTTAAGAGACTTCAAATTGGAAGCTATTACTAATTCAAAAATAAAGATACTAAACCTATACAGCATTTTTTCAGTAGTTAAATAAGAAATGAGTATGTCAATGTCTCTGTCAGTCTTCCAGCATGTTTTATATACATAAACAGATTGTATTGCACTGTGCACTGAGTGTACAAAACATTAGGAACACCTTAATATTGGGTGGCACCCCTTTTGCCCTCAAAACAGCCTTAATTTGTCAGGGCATGGACTCTACAAGGTGTTGAAAGCGTTCCACAGGGATGCTGGCCCATGTTGACTCCAATGCTTCCCACAGTGGATGTCCTTTGGATGGTGGACCATTCTTGATACATGGGAAACTGTTGAGCTTGAGAAACCCAGCAGCGTTGCAGTTCTTGACACACTCAAACCGGTGCGACTACTACCATACCCCATTCAAAGGCACTTAAATCTTTTGTCTTGCCCATTCACCCTCAGAATGGCACACACACAATCCATGTCTCAATTGTCTCAAGGCTTAAAAATCCTTCTTTAACCTATCTCCTCCCCTTCATCTACACTGATTGAAGTGGATTTAACAAGTGACATCAATAAGGGATCATAGCTTTCACCTGCTCAGTCTGTCATGGAAAGTGCAGGTGTTCCAAATGTTTTGTACACTCAGTACGTGCGTCTATATACCCTATAATTTCACTGAGAAGTGTGTGTGTGTGTGTTATCAAGGCACCTATTTGAAGCCTTTCTCAGAGCAATGTGTTTCTCTGCTGGTGACGCTCTAGTCACACTTTTCACACGGCAGTCCCACGTTCGATGCCTAGGTGGGCGACTCTTGGGGTCTTGCCTGCCTCCTGGTCACTGGAGTTCTGGCTTTCTGTCTTATCTTTGTCCTTGTCCTTGTCTCCTCCACCTGACCTAGAGGACACACCGTAATAATGAGGTTACTACACCGCTAATAGGCCGAAAAAACTTGATACAGCATTACTTGAGTAATTCCATCATGTGTTTGACAAACATTGTTTATTCTTAGCTACTTTAAATTAATGGTGTTGTAAAATGCTGCTGATAACTGACATTTTGGTCAGCAGATACAGCGTATTTTACTTTTTCTTGAAGAGCTTCTTGAAGGAACTACGGAAGCCTCCCTTCTCCTGTTTCCGGCTCCTCTCACTGAAGGGGGTGTGGTTATTCCCCTCAGCCTTCCATTTTGGCTCCTCCCCCCAGGGTGGGATCCCAGAGTCCTACGTAAAGGAGTAATATTTGTTGTAAAGACACCCAGAGGTCTATAACAATATCACACACATAGTACATACTAGTCACAAATAGCCCCCGAACTGAGACACACACACACACCTCCCAGCAGTGCTTAGTAATCTCATATTTATTTATATGGCTGACCCACCCATTTCCCATCTAAAAATGAACAACCATTTTATGGCTTCTCATAAACTCAACCCCACTGCTTGTTAACTGTGGGCTCCATCCAGCCACTCCCTGATGCCCACCTTGTTGTTATGCAGCTCCTCGTCAGTGGATGCTATCTGTCTCTCTGGCTCTGCTCTGTGCTGCGGGGGGCTGATGGGGTTGTTGTTGCTGCTCTGGCCCTTGCTGCTGCGTGGGTGATATTTATTACTAGATTGCCTCTCCAGCTTGGCGTGTTGGTGGGCCCCTTGGCCCCTCAGGTGGTCAGACAGATGTCCAGGGCCACTGTCCCCACTCACAGTGCTGTCCAGCTGTAACCCGTTCAAGGACTTGCTCTTACGCTGAGCGGCCTGCAGGGGGCGGTGGTGGTGAGCTTGCATCATTCGGGCCTCGTCTGGCGACACGCATCCCCGGCCAGGCAGCTGCTTGTACCTGCTCCCCCGGCTGCCCCCGCTGTTGTAGACCTCACGGACAGCTTGGTGGCTCTTAGGGCAGCGCACAAAGGCGATGTCGATACTAGAGTCGGAGGAAGCGCTGGAGTAGTGGTCGAACATGGACACGTTGTGGAGAGACGAGTCCGCATCCTCATACAGCCCCTCCAAGCCTGGAGGGTCCCCAGAGAGAAAGAACTCCCCTTGGGCATCGGACAGGGCTGAGCCCGGGGGCAGCCGTTTGCCGGGCAGCTGCTCTGATGACCCCATCTCAGGGATACACTGCAGGCCTGGGGGTTTGAGGCGAGGGTTGGTGTCAGGGGAGAAAAATGGGATGGGGGAGTCGGAGTGATGGGCCTCGCTCTCCCAGTCCTGGAAGTGTCTAGACTGGATCTGCTCCAGGAGCCTCTGCTTGCTGCGTTTCACCTGGTTGGCATGCTCTCTGTAAGGCGAGAGGGGGAGACTGTCAGTGGGTCAGAGAGTTAGTGCATAAATAAATGCATTAATGACTAATATGACTGTCTGAGTGTAGTCATAACATAACTCACAGTATTGCATTGCTGGTGGGGTAAGGGGAGCCCATCTCATTGGCTTGCATAATGTTACCACAGTCCACGTTTTTGAAGAACTGCTTCATAGTTGACCTGTAACAAGAACAAGATAGGAACTATATTTGTGCCGCGTTCACATGATAGTTGGAACTAGGAAACTCGACTTGCTAACTGGTTGTAGTTATACATGTGCCGCGTTCAACCACTTAGCAAGTCAGACATTTCAGAGTTTCCTAGTTCCGAATAGCACATGAACGCGGCATAAGCCTCACAAAGAGTTCTTCTTTATTTGGTCATATTCACAGCAGAATGTCTGGAAAGTATATCATCACAGTTCATTGTCCTCAGACCAGTCCATCTGAATCCTGTTCCCCATCTGCACAATCTTACCAAAACACCAAATCTGAGCCTGGATCAGAAGCTGACCTCTTGAGCTCTTTGCGGTTGTGCAGGAGCAGCTCTTCGCTGTGCTGCAGTAGGTGGGCGTATTGGGTGGTGAAGGCTCTGAACTGCTGGATACACACCAGCAGCAGGTAGTAGTCAGGGTGCTCTGCATCCGTCTGCTTCAACAGGGTCTGAAACCAAACCAGGCCACACAGGAATGCTATGGACTTATCCCAGCTAGCGCATAATGTTCAGAGAACCATATGTTGGTGAGAGTGTGGTTATGGTTATTTTGCATACAACCTTCCCACAACTTTCTGGGAATAGTGCAGGATAGTAGCTTGGCTTTTGAACATTCTCAGCACATTTTTAAGAAACTTGACAAAAAAATAATATTTTCTTGGTATTTAATTACTTTAACAGAATGTTTCCTAAAAGTTCAAACATGGTTACATTTAATTGAATTTCTGGTCATTTTATTGGAACATTCTCCAACTGGTTTGATATTCGTAATGTTCTCAAATAGTTCCGCAAATGTTAAGAAACAATGTTCTTCTGTAGGAATTTCAGTACTTCCACAGAACATTCCACACAAGTTCCCATGTGGTTCTATTTAATGTCATATTTTTACTACATTCTGGGAATGTTCTATAAAATGGTGTAACTTAAGCAATGTTCTCAGAACATTCAGAGAATGTATGGTTCTCTTTAATGTCAGTTCTTGGTAATATTCTGGGAATGTACAAAACAAATGGAATTCTACATATTAACATCAATTAGCTCTAAATTCCGTTCTCAGAGCATGAAGAAAATGTTCCATCAAAAACACAAGAAAACTTTAGTAATGTAAGGAAAACATTCTAATAATGTTATTTAAAAACATATACATTCTGTTCTAAGAACATGAAGAAAACTTTCCATAAAAAACACACATTTTACATTTCATTCTCAGGGTCAAGAAAACTCTCTCTATCCTCTATCTTGTTAGGTGTGTTCAGGTGTGTTGGCCACACCCACTAATTTTGCCAAACCTGATGAGTGCTTGTTTCCTTTGAAATGGGGTTTGGTTGAATACCAAAAAAAATAAAACATGTCATGCTAGCTCCATCCTGGTGGCGCAGTGAACTAATTCCAGGGATAGAGAACAGAAGATCATAGGTTTGAATCTTTCTGATGCCATGTCAAAATCAGTGGTGTAAAGTACTTAAGTAAAAATACTATAAAGTACCACTTAAGTAGTTTTGTGAGGTATCTGTACTTTACTTTAATATTAATATTTTTGACTACTTTTACTTCACTACATTCCTAAAGAAAATAATGTACTTTCTACTCCATACATTTCCCTGACACCCAAAAGTACTTGTTACATTTTGAATGCTTAGCGGAACATGAAATTGGTCCAATTCATGCACTTACAGTGAGGGAAAAAAGTATTTGATCCCCTGCTGATTTTGTACGTTTGCCCACTGACAAAGACATGATCAGTCTATAATTTTAATGGTAGGTTTATTTGAACAGTGAGAGACAGAATAACAACAAAAAAATCCAGAAAAATGCATGTCAAAAATGTTATAAATTATTTTGCATTTTAATGAGGGAAATAAGTATTTGACCCCTCTGCAAAACATGACTTAGTACTTGGTGGCAAAACCCTTGTTGGCAATCACAGAGGTCAGACGTTTCTTGTAGTTGGCCACCAGGTTTGCACACATCTCAGGAGGGATTTTGTCCCACTCTTTGCAGATCTTCTCCAAGTCATTAAGGTTTCGAGGCTGACGTTTGGCAACTCGAACCTTCAGCTCCCTCCACAGATTTTCTATGGGATTAAGGTCTAGAGACTGGCTAGGCCACTCCAGGACCTTAATGTGCTTCTTCTTGAGCCACTCCTTTGTTGCCTTGGCCGTGTGTTTTGGGTCATTGTTACATTTACATTTTAGTCATTTAGCAGACGCTCTTATCCAGAGCGACTTACAGTTAGTGAATACATATATTATTTTTTATACTGGCCCCCCGTGGGAATCGAACCCACAACCCTGGCGTTGCAAACGCCATGCTCTATCAACTGAGCTACATCCCTGCCGGCCATTCCCTCCCCTACCCTGGATGACGCTGGGCCAATTGTGCGCCGCCCATGAGTCTCCCGGTCGCGGCCGGCTGCGGCAGAGCCTGGATTCGAACCAGGATCTCTAGTGGCACAGTTAGCACTGCAAAGCAGTGCCTTAGACCACTGCGCCACTCAGGAGACATTGTCATGCTGGAATACCCATCCACCACCCATTTTCAATGCCCTGGCTGAGGGAAGGAGGTTCTCACCCAAGATTTGACGGTACATGGCCCCGTCCATCGTCCCTTTGATGCGGTGAAGTTGTCCTGTCCCCTTAGCAGAAAAACACCCCCAAAGCATAATGTTTCCACCTCCATGTTTGACGGTGGGGATGGTGTTCTTGGGGTCATAGGCAGCATTCCTCCTCCTCCAAACACGGCGAGTTGAGTTGATGCCAAAGAGCTCGATTTTGGTCTCATCTGACCACAACACTTTCACCCAGTTCTCCTCTGAATCATTCAAATGTTCATTGGCAAACTTCAGACGGGCCTGTATATGTGCTTTCTTGAGCAGGAGGACCTTGCGGGCGCTGCAGGATTTCAGTCCTTCACGGCGTAGTGTGTTACCAATTGTTTTCTTGGTGACTATGGTCCCAGCTGCCTTGAGATCATTGACAAGATCCTCCCATGTAGTTCTGGGCTGATTCCTCACCGTTCTCATGATCATTGCAACTCCACGAGGTGAGATCTTGCATGGAGCCCCAGGCCAAGGGAGATTGACAGTTATTTAGTGTTTCTTCCATTTGCGAATAATCGCACCAACTGTTGTCACCTTCTCACCAAGCTGCTTGGCGATGGTCTTGTAGCCCATTCCAGCCTTGTGTAGGTCTACAATCTTGTCCCTGACATCCTTGGAGAGCTCTTTGGTCTTGGCCTTGGTGGAGAGTTTGGAATCTGATTTTGATTGCTTCTGTGGACAGGTGTCTTTTATACAGGTAACAAGCTGAGATTAGGAGCACTCCCTTTAAGAGTGTGCTCCTAATCTCAGCTCGTTACCTGTATAAAAGACACCTGGGAGCCAGAAATCTTTCTGATTGAGAGGGGGTCAAATACTTATTTCCCTCATTAAAATGCAAATAAATGTATAACAGTTTTGACATGCGTTTTTCTGGATTTTGTTGTTGTTATTCTGTCTCTCACTGTTCAAATAAACCTACCATTAAAATTATAGACTGATCATTTCTTTGTCAGTGGGCAAACGTACAAAATCAGCAGGGGATCAAATACTTTTTTCCCTCACTGTATCAAGAGAACATCGCTGGTCATTCCTACTGCCTCTGATCTGACGGACTCACTAAACACACATGCTTTGTTTGTAAATTATGCCTGAGTGTGCCTCTGGCTATCTGTAAATAAAAAAATATAACAAATAAAATGGTGCCATCTGGTTTGCTTAATATAAGGAATTTGAAATGATTTATACTTTTACTTTTGATACTTAAGTATATTTGAGCAATTACATTTGCTTTTGTTACTGAAGTACATTTAAAACCAAATACTTTTAGACTTACTCAAGTAGTATTTTACTGGGTGACTTTTACTTGAGTCATTTTCTATTAAGGTATCTTTATTTTTACTCAAGTATGACAATTGGGTACTTTTTCCACCACTGGTCACAATAACAAAATAACTGTTTGTATGATTAACGCCTAAGCAAATTAATTTCCATGTGTCCTATTGTATCTGTGCTTGGAGTTCAAAAGAGTTAACCCAAAATAAGCTAGCAGTGTTATTAAAAGCCTTATTGTTACATTCAGTGAAAGTTGTAAGTTATTCAAAAACCTTCAAATAACCTTTAAATTTAGTTATGTTAAGTGTTAAGAAATCCACAACAAAACTTTCACAACATTTCGAGAATTTTCTCAGAATGTTAATTAATTACCTTCAAATAACCTATAATTTCCATTTCTCAGTGTTAATAAAACCTCAAATTTCAGGGAACCAGAGTGAAACGTTCTCAGAACCTCCCTGCAACCTAAAAATGTACATTCCCAGAACAGGCTAAATGTTCACTTCTGTTCTCAGAATGTTAAAAAGAACGTTCAGTTTTACCGGTCAGGAAAGTATGGCTTTGTTCTACAACCAATATGAAAAAACATACCTTCCCACAACTTCCAACGAACCAAATGTGCTAGCTGGGATGTGAACCTGCCACTAACCTTAACAGTTTATACAGTCACCACCACTCTGATTTGAGATAAGATACTATGATGGTGAAGGCTCTCTTTTCTAAATACCTATGTTGTGTTGGTGGTGTACTGTATGTATCAGATGTGAGTGTCATGGAGGGGAGGGAGCCTGACCTGCAGCAGCTGAAGGTACACAGGGATCCTTTGTACTGGCTGGAGAAGCAGAGTGTAGAGAGAGGGGCGTGTCTCGTCCCCGATGATGTCACCCTGGAACATCAGACAGTCAATCAGAGGAGACAGTCAGTTGACACAAGTCTCCACAGAAATCATGTGAAATCAATTGTACAAAATGTTTATCGAGTAATAAAGACTTGGGATAAGATGTCATAAAAAAAACTAAGTCATAATAAACTTCACTCAGGTCTACTTATCATGTGCTCTTTGTTAATCGAAATGTCAATAAAGAGAATTACTAAACGATAACTGTCAATAGTAACAGGATTTCCTGAAATAACCCTTTCTTTCTGGATAACTGCACTACTGTGAATACTTCTCTGTGGGTAGCTCTATGCAGTGAATGGGGAGGTAGGGGTGCTGAGGATGCTACAGCACCCCCTGATAAAAAAAACTAGTTCTTTATTACTCCTGTATGAGCGGAGTAACCCAACCCAAAACACCCCCAACTCATAAAATCTTCCCATGGCCATGATTGCGGTCAACACTGCCTGGTTGGTCAGCGTTCTTAGTTTACCTCAAAAAGGCTGGCTGCTTTTAGTGAGGTGGTGGTCAACATGCTGACCACAGACAGACATTCAGGCAGCTCCTTCAGATATGACACGTAGAAGTCCAGGAAATCACTCTGTAGAAGACAGACAAGGTGGAGAATTAGAGACAGAGACAGACAGACAGACAGACACAGTCAGTCAGTCATTGAAACTCAGTAGATAGGGTCATAGTCTAGAATCTAGACAGACAGAGAAATTATCTGGAACATAGACAGAGACAAAATCTATCCTCTCTCCCCAATCCCCACGCCTCTCCTAATTGTCAGATGTGGTCTTTGTGATTCATTTTAAGGACTCCACATGTGATGGTGTAATTGGTGAGGAGAGGCACTGCCTCACAGCGGAGCGGGCCCGGTTCCACGAGGGGAGAAAAAGGGGCTTAGCCCCATTAGTTGAAACTTGTGCCCCCCTATATAAAAATAGCAAAAAAGTTCAAATCATTAAATGACAGGTTGGCGCAAAATCTGTATCTCCGCTGCGCTCTGTCAGCACAATGGACAGAGTGTGTGTAGGGGGGCTATGGAAAACCAATGGGTGGTTAGGTATGACTCCTTTGGGTTTCCATAGAAAGCGTGAAAAAACACTTCTCATCTGTGGTAGGCTAAGTGAATAACGTGATGTGCCTCTGCCTGTAATATTTGATTTTAATTTATAAGGGCGGGTTAAAGTTTACAGTTGAAGCTGCTTCACTTAACTCTGCCTCACGCCCCACCATAACAGAGTTTAGTTAGCTTCTTAGCTAGCTGTAAAAAGTGTTAGTGTTATTAGCCATAGCCTATTTAGCTAGCTCGAACCAGCTAATCTGTCACTGCCATGATGGATATCAGAAATTGGCTTTGCCAAAGTACCCAAACAAAGGAGAAGGAGAGCAATGAGCAGCAGCAGAAGCATCAAACCATCAAGGCCGCCGCCAAGTTCAACAGCGATGATGCTGCCGAGCTCCAGCTAGCTCCGTGTGCAGAGCCTACCCACCCTTCCACAAGCGCCGCCAGGACAATAGCTACACAGCCCCCCTCCACCTCAGACTGTTCCTGACGATCTTGGAACAGAGGAGCCAGCCCAGGTTAGCCTAGAATACTACACTAGCCGCAGGTTTTCTGTCCAAAAACGTTAATTTAATAGCAACTGGTTCATAGGAAAGGGAAAGGAGATACAACTGAATGAATTCAATCTAAATGTGTATTTAACCCAACCCCTCTGAATCAGAGAGGTGCGGGGGGCTGCCTTAATCGTCATCAGCCGCCAGGGGAGCAGTTGTTGTTGGGGGTTAAAGGGATTTCATCATCTCCAGCATGACCCCAACATCAATATATGTGAAAATTGTGTGTTTCTGTGTTTTGTAGTAAAAATATAGTGGAAGATAAGTGTTTCCAATGACATAATTGGTGTGCATCTTGTGATTTTAACCAATTATGAGTAGGCATTGCCTACTAATTGGTTGATGATGTCATTGGAAACATTTATCTTCCTCTATCTTTTTTACTACAAAACATAGAAACACACAGCAGAACTGCAGATTTCTCCACCCTGCCAGCTCAGGGATTTGAACCAGCAACCTTTTGGTTACTGACCCAACAATCTTGACCGCTAGGCTACCTGCAAGGGCTTGAATACTCGATTACTGCAGAATTCATTATAATTCCAATGCAAGAACCCAAATGACGCCCCTGGGTATAGCTACATATCAGTATGTTCATCACAGAAATAGATACATTCTATTATGATTTTTTTGGTAGCCTATTGGTTTTCATGGTTGTAAATGGAACTCTATGTATTGGAAACATGTTTATGGTAGGCTATTATTGCTTAATTGATTACTTGGGTCGAATTTGAATTACAGAAGTGTATTGTGCCATATCACAATGTGTTGCTGAACTCCATGTTTGAAGCGGGCCTATAGGCCTATTTGTTTGGCAAGAAGCTGTGCATGGCTGCATCTCACTGTAGTAGACTGTAGGCTATGTTTTGGTTATTTGGATCTCCATTCACCTTTTGTTTACTGCGTTTGTTTACTGTTAATGTAACTAGCCTAAATATAGATTGTGTCATGCCTTCATTGATCTGATATTTTGTTTACTAGGCCTACTTGGTACCGCTGTTTTGTTCTGTTTGCATTAATTCGTTCGCATTCGCAGTTGTGTCGGTATTCTAAGCCTAACTGCTATTCAGTATTTTTGAAAGCATGCATAAATAACTAGGTTACTACTTTCAGCATTTAGTTTGCATTATTTTGGTAAGGCAGCTGTGTGTACGGCTGCATTCACATATGCTGTTTGTAATAGGTGAACTACCTTATCTATCTTTTAGCCTATATGCATTAGCAAAACGTCCTTGCTTTAGTGCAGGGGTGTCAAACTCATTTCACATTTCACGGAGGGCCGAGTGTCTGCAGGTTTTTATTTTTTTCATTTCAATAATTTTTTTCATTTCAATTAAGACCTAGACAACCAGGTGAGGGGAGTTCCTTACTAATTAGTGACCTTAGTTCATCAATCAAGTACAAGGGATGGAGTGAAAACCCGCAGACGCTCGGCCTTCCATGGAATGAGTTTGACATTAGTGCTGTAGTGTGTAAGGCATTGTCCATTGTGCTGATACAGCGGAGCGGAGTTAGGCTACAGATTACACGCCAACCTGCCACTTCAAAAGCACTCAATCAATATTCTCGGAGTCTCAGCATTTGAACCTTATGTTTAGTGTGGTATAGTGTGATATAAGCAGAATTCAATATAATTCCAATGCAAGAACCCCTCAAAATTGTGCCCCCTCACTGATTTCAATTCCCCACCTTTGTCACTGTATCCTAGATCCGGGTCTGAGTCACAGCCTTCCCCCTGGACAGTCTCCTCTGGGGCCCCTAACTGCTAACCCCACCAATCAATTAAATTCCCTCTTTCAATCAGTCCCACCCACTTAAACACACATTGGTCCTAATACAATAAGCACATAATAGGCTGGATACTGTATGTGAGGGGTTATGTAGTTACATTTTACATTTTTAGTCATTTAGCAGACGCTCTTATCCAGAGCGACTTACAGTTAGTGAGTGCATACATTTTCATACTGGCCCCCCGTGGGAAATGAACCCACAACCCTGGCGATGCAAGCGCCATGCTCTACCAGCCTGTGACACCATCACTAGAGTAGAGCCCTGAGTTTCTCTAGGTCAGTTTACGTGGACAGGGAAAACTCAAGGCCCCTTTCCATGACTTCATGGGGAATTTGTGCCTGTGAAAAATGAAAACCTCTTTGCTGGTGAGCCTCATGAATACATCTCCCATGATGCCCTGCCACTGGCACTTGAGCACCCTCTCCTGCAGGGTGTGGAGCAGCTCCAGGTGTTGCTGGATGAGGAAACGTAGAGAGCTGGGGAATGGCCTGGAGAGAGACAGAGGAGATCGATGTAAAACACATCACACCACATTACACTGCGAGGAGAGAGGTACAGAACAGAGGAACAGACTAGGGAGCAGTTTAAAGAGAGGAGGCAATCATTTTTATGGTAACGGACAGAATGGTGAGAAGGAGAGGGGGGAGGGCAGGGGCCACCGGGAAGGCAATGCATTGAGGTGGGAATAATATTGAGAAAACAAACAGATAAATCAGAGAGTGAAAATGTACACTGTACAGGTGGTGGTGGTGATGAGGGTGGTGGTGGTGGTGGTGGGTGATTAAAGGCTCAAACAGAAATGTGAAAAGATGGAGACTGGATGGATGAAAGAGAGAGGAAAATAGATGCGGATACTACAGAAAGAGACAAAGGAGACGACAGAGTTGAAATTATGGAATTGGAAGATGCATTTAAACATTATGGTGTTAGTAGACAGAATACTGAGGTAAATGGACCAATGACAGTTTTTGTTATAATAGTGGAAGGAGTCTAGTAATAGTAATTGCAGTGTAAGTAACAGTCATGGCATGCTGATAGTAATAGAAAGTTTCGCAGCATTATTTTGTATTTTGCAGCAGTAATTTATCTTTCGTTGTTTATGAACCAAACCTAAGGGTTCTACCAAGGTCAATGTTGAGAGCAACCTTTATAATTACATCTGCTTCCATGAGTCATAGTGCACTATTAAACCCTAACCCTGAACCCTAAAGCACTGGCCCATTGTGACAAATTTACGAACCTCATTTAATTGGCTCCTACGAAGTTTATACTTATGTAATAGTGGTCCGGTGGCTCTGTTGCTGTGAACTATAACAAAACAGTTCAGCCACAGTGCGGCGACTACATCTCATATAAATGTGTAAATAATACCCGTCAGTGGTACAGTACCGTTTGGCTTTGGTGTGGAGGGCCTCTGAGCTGTTGAAGGTGATGTTGGCTTTCAGCAGGAGAGACAGGTAGGACACATACACCCTCTCTGACTCCAACAGCTCTAGGGCAGCCACCTGCCTCTTACCTGACACACACATACACAAAGTGAAAAGAAGCAACACACTGACTTATATACTGTGGTTCTGTTCTGTTGGCTGGGATTCTCTGACTACCAGAAGGGCGGCAGGTAGCTTAGTGGTTAAGAGCGTTGTACCAGTAACCGACAGGTCGCTGGTTCTAATCCCCAAGCCGACTAGGTGAAAAATCTGTCAATGTGCCCTTGAGCAAGGCACTTAACCCTAATTGCTCCTGTAAGTCGCTCTGGATAAGAGCGTCTGCTAAATGACCAATTTATTATTATTTATTATAACAGGCTATTATTCGTATATAAAGCACTTCTCAAGAAACTCCCATACTACCTCACCTCACTTCTAAACTTGAAATTGAGTAACTATAAGACTCGCTCTCAAGACAGGTTGGTACTAGAGGGTCCACGGGTCTCCTCTGAGTTAGGGAAGACAGCTTTCAGTCCCTATGCCCCTCCATCCTGGAATGACCTACAGGTCACTCTAAAACTTGATTCTTTGGACCCAAAATGTGAATTTAGGGCTCTGATAAAAAATGTGACCAATAAAAACCGCACTTGTTTTGATTGATTTTAGATATTTGTTGCAACTTTTTTTTTTTTACTGCCCTTTTGAATGTAATGTAATTTTTTTGAAATGTTGTAACTGTAATTTTGTAGTGATCATGCTTGAATTGTTGCTCATATTGTTTGAACTGTTGTTCTCAGGGCACCATTGGAAATGAGACGCTGGTCTCAATGAGTTCCCCTAATTAAATAAATGTTAATCAAATAAATATGCTTTTTACACAGCTGTGACCCATTAAATGGGAATTAGTCTATTGACTACAAAATAATTTAATGTAGGGCTCTGTAATGTAACAAGGGAATAAGTCACTTATGTGTGTAACGTCAGCGGTGATGTCACTCACTGTTTTCTGGGGCGCTCTGTGCATCCGTGTCGTCCCGGCTCTCTTTCCATTCTCTCCACACTGGAGACTTAGACTGACCCCTCTGGGGCTGGCCACTGGCTGCCTCCTGCTCTGAGTTAGAGGCTGCACCACACACAGTACACACACAGGGAGAAAACACAAGCATTTGTCAATGCGATTCACTGTCTCTGATTGATTTCATGTGCTATAAACATCCCTATACAGCTGCCAGGTATTTGCATCAGCTAAGGCAATTACGTTCAATGGCTTTCATGAACAGATCTTTACCTACTGGGCACTCACTGGTTGAAGCAACGTTTTTTTGAACCAACGTGGAATAAACGTTGAATTGACATCTGTGCCCAATGGGTAAGAACCAGCTAGTCAGTACATCAATGACACACATACAGGATTTTCTATGAGTGGACATTGTCTGTCCCTCAGAGGCATAACTCACTCTGTGTCGAGGCTATGCTCCTGTGTGGAGAGCTGCTGGGCAGGCTGGCAAAGTAATGCTGGATGACGTTGAGCTCTGTCTGGTTGGAGAGACGCGCATGGCCCTCCCCAGGGCAGTCCCCTTTGGAGCTTTTTCTGACAAAACCAAGGGGAATGGTGAGTTCATTTCAGGTGATGAAAGTGTGTGTGTGAATGTTTGTGCATGCAATGTGTGTGTGTCACACACCTCTGTTGAACGGGCCGGATCTCTCTGCCGGTCTCTGATTGGAGGAGCTCCAGGCCTTTCTGTAGCTCTTTCTGTCTGCTGCTAACCTCTTTGATCTGGGTTAGAGCACTGCTCAGGTCCTCCTGAACACAACCAGGGCATACACTCAGTGGCCAGCTTATTAGGTAAATCACCCCGTTCACGAAAATGGTTTCGCTCCTACAGACAGGCTTTGGCTTGCCATATAAAGCAGGCAGACAGGCATCGAGGCATTCAGTTACTGTTCAATTGAACGTTAGGGCAAAACGAGTGACCTAAGCAACTTTGAGCGTGGTATGATTGTTGGCGCCAGGCGCGTCTGTTCCAGTATCTCAGAAACGGCCGGCCTCCTGGGCTTTTCACGCACGACAGTATCTAGGGTTTACAGAGAATGGTGCGACAAACATCCAGTCAGCGCAGTCCTGTGAGCGAAAACAGCTCGTTGATGAGAGGTTGAAGGAGAATGGCAAGAATTGTGCAAGCTAACAGGCGGGCCACAAACAGGCAAATAACGGCGCAGTACAACAGTGGTGTGCAGTACAGCATCTTGGAATGCACAACTCGTCAATTGTTGTCGTGGATGGGCTATTGCAGCAGACGACAACACCAGGTTCCTCTCCTATCAGCTAAAAACAAGAAGAAGTGGCTTCAGTGAGCACGCGATCACCAACACTGGATAATTGAGGAGTGGAAATACATTGCCTGGTCCGACGAATCTCAGTTCCTGTTGCGTCATGCTGATGGCAGAGTCAGGATTTGGCGTAAGCCGCATGAGTCCATGGCCCCATCCTGCCTGGTGTCAACGGTACAGGCTGGTGGTGTAATTGTGTGGGGAATAATTTCCTGGCACACGTTAGGTCCCTTGATACCAATTGATCAACGTTTCCATGCCCCTAAGAATTCAGGCTGTTCTGGAGTCAAATGGGGGTCCGATCCGGTACTAAATGGTACCTAATAAACTGGCCGCTGAGTGTATAGCACAATCACATCACTACGATATCTAGCTACATTCACAATACATGTATCAGATAGCTACATACTGTAATACTATTTTTTGTGTTAAGCATCCTGCTTGAATTGCTAGAGAATGTTACTGGTTTTACTGTAGTCCACTTCTATGGTATGAGCAGAATGACAAACAGGCAAATATTTGTCTATCAGATATCAGTGAGGTTCCATTAGGTCATGTGGGACGTGAGGTACCTTAAATGTGTTGAGGTAGTTCCTGATTCCCATGATCCTGTCATCCAGGTCTCTCTGGTGTGTCTGAGCCCTCTCTTCCAGACTGCTGTTTCTCTGCTGCAGCGCAGCCACGTCCTGTAACACCCCCTGCAGCCCCGTATGCAGCTCCGCCATCAAGGACTGCAGCTGGAGCACCAGGTCAGAGGTTGGGGGTCAGAATGTAACAACCATTACTACAGTGATATGATTGTTTGTGACATTACTAATCGCTCCAGAATGTCCAGAACATAACTATGAAATGCTACATTGGTTCTGTATGTGGGGGTGAATAGATTACTTGGAATAATGTGCAGCTGTTTTAACAATAGTAATAATAATTTGGTGGGTGTCCTATTTCACACATGTACAAGTGTATTAATAGGCATGCGTGAATTTGAAATATATTTTTTTGCATATCCCACTCTCCCTGAGACACCCTCGGAGAGTGGGGTCATGGCCAGGGTCTGAAATGATCAACAGCAACCCTGGAGCAATTAGGGTTAAGTGCCTTGCTCAAGGGCACATTGACAGATTTTTTTTCCTTATCGGCTCAGGGATTAGAACTAGCAACCTTTCGGTTACTGGCCCAACGTTCTAGAGGGTTCTCCTATGGGAACAGCCCAAAAAGCCTTTTTTCTAAGTGTATCAGAGGTCAGCTAGGTCACAGGGTTTGTTTCCTACAACGCTCTCCACTGAGTCACATTATCCTCGTTATCTTATTCATTGTTGTCGTTTGGAGAGTGTCCCAATTTTTTCCCTCCTTTAGTGTAGCGGCCGTTCTTAGGATGTTGGGTTATTGAATTTAGTCAGCAGAGATAAGTGAATCAGCTCATGTGAACAGACAGGGATTCAAGCTGCTGCGAGCCCTTATCATCTTCTCTTCACTCCTCCACTCTGTGGTTACAGTCATGTGAAAGCCATCAGGCTGCAGATTCATTAGGGCAGCTGCCATTCTCTACAGATGTACAGATCTAATCTCTGCGTTACTGTGCAATACCTTGCCTCTGCTCACTACTTTAGAGTACATAACAGTACATACACAACACATACCATACAGCAGTGCAACATCTGTGTATTATATTTTACTTTACAGCTGTCCGGTACTGTTACAATATTTGACATATCTGTAGCATTTTGTTAGAACATACTGTATACTAGTCCATTGATATGCATTTACATACAATAAGATTAGAGACAAGCCGTAGCCAAGGCTATTTCCGTTTCTCTGGCAGTGTACATACTGTACATAGGCAGCGGTGTCTCTTGGAAAGGGACTGTCTATAGAGCTGGTTACCTGAGCAATCTCTAGGTTGGCCTCCTCCATTTCCTGGTCTTGTTCTAGAAGTCAAGGCCATCAGTTAATTACACATCTATATGGATTTACAGTAGCTCCCTGTCACTCACACATCACTATGGAGATAATCCTCAGTTACTCAGACACAGCTCCCAATTATACACAAACCATTCTTTGGAGATACAGAACAAAATAGACTATGATAAAGACAAATCATATAGTCATGTGGGATGTCCAACACAACGTCTTACTATGCAGCCTATGCACAGTAAATAATGTAAGAGTAAACCCTTATAACTTACCCAAACACTGAAATTCTACATGTAATGGTAAGGTAGACAAGGCTTATGTGTCATCAAACAATCAAACAGTTGTACCATAATGGAAATACCCTACTGTACTGAGTCTGTTTCTGTTCAAATGCCAAATGTCCAAACTGCGAGCACCATTGTAAAGGTCATTTTAAATGTCTGCTTATCATACATTATGCATTTGAGCTTGTGTTGGAATTACATATTCTGAACAGGAATACTTTATAGCAACGTTCTTGAAAGAAGAATACTGTAAAAGAAAATTCAAGACAACCAATTTGAACCAAATTTGAAGTCTTCCAATGGTTGTATCATACATAGGAGTTTTTCCACTTAACCAGTTCATAAGAGATTGAACAGTCAGATAGTCATGTCATGCTGAAGAGCATTGAATGAGAAGTTCAAGCACACTAACTTTGTTTCAATATCTTTCCCAGAACTGTCCATCAACAACAGGTTTCATCAAAAGTGTAAATTTGTCCATGTAACCAGTTTAAAAGACATACAACTATCACTGTTACTCACAGCACACCTAAGATATTCAACAGCAACAACATATTTTTTTTTTACTGTAGCATCTATAAACCATGTGACTACCAACAAATCTGAAAAACACAAAACCATCAACCAAAAACCATGTTGGTGAGACCTGTAGTCTGGGTGACATCTTGATTATAGAACCAGAATTTACCTTCCGTCTTGCTGTTTTCCAAGGTTCCTGTGCCCACCTACCTAGTCCACAAACAGGGTTGTGTAGTTTTAGCGTTCAAGGAACTCCTCTGTTCTGTACTCCTCTGAAAACTGTCCTGCGATCTCTCGCTCTAAACCATGTGAGTCTGATGATCCTCCACACAAAAAGGGCCTTTGTGTACAGTAAGTGGAATGATGGTGGGAGAAGCCAGACAGAGAGAGAGAGAGAGAGATGGAAGAGAGGGATAGAGCTTGTGGGCTTTTGACACTCCTTCATGAGGAGACAATTGGACAGCTGATTCGATTTCCCCGTGACAGGAATGCCCAATTTCGTTGGAAAGATAATAAAACAGAGCTGTGACACAGGTTTTGGTCTGCTCAGGAGGGTGACATGCAAAAGGTAGTCAGGATATGGCGCTATTTTAGTCATTGTACATTTTCTCTGTGATTCCATTCCGTTTTTGGCCAAGTTTAGTTGATGACTGTGTGTCGGTATGTTACTGTTAGAAACAATGATGCATGATGTGCTTCAATGTGTGTGTTATGCACACAATTAAGTAGGCATACTGCACTTGATGCTGTAGTATATTTGTACATCAGCATGTTTGTGCAGTGTTTCTACTGTATAGTGGGTATGTGTTTTGGAGTCACCAATAGACACATTCACACAAGGATTCCCATTTCCCCAATGTTGTGTAAATCAAGGATTCTTTTTTTTTGTTAGTGTGTGGGTATCTATGAATGAGTGTGTCATTGGTGTCAGACTCTCTAGTAGGGTTAATGTTTGTACTGTATATGGTGATGATATTCTGCTCCTCCACACCCCCAGGACCAAGCTCCACTCTTTGGGGGATCAGGCTTTCAGCTCCTTTCTCTTTATGAAGGCTTTCTGTTGATAGCTGTGCTCCTTAGTGTCCTTGTCCCTTGTAGCGTCAGCTGTGTTCTTTGTGTCAGATGCCCTGTCTATTTGTGTCCATTATTTATTTGTATTTTTTATTATGCACTTTGAGATTATTCTGTATAATGAAAAGTGCTGTACAAATGTAATACATTATTATTATATTCTCTGTCAGTGTTGTGTGAGTCAGTGTGATTAGCCTTTTACTGCAGTTGGCTAAATCAGGGTCACACAGAGTGATTCTTGGTAGTCTTAAACAAATCTACTTTGAAACAAAAGTATATACCTCACACAAATGGTTATGGGCTTAACAAAAAGAAGACACCTGTACCATGACAACTATAGAGTTGAAATGTATTCAATTCTGAGTTTGCATCCCAATATTAGACTTTATATACATCACAGAAGACTGAAATATAGGATTTCCGTCAGGTTTTTAGAAATAATCTTTATTAATTATGTAATTATGAAAAATATTAATAACTGCGCTTTTGGTCATTGACTGCAGGAAAGGGCTACGTGCCTATGTGATGTCAGCGGGCACAGTTTCTCAGATCTCAGAACTCCGATCACTCCTTCCTCAGCTTGTGGTCTTCCAAGAAAACAGGAAGTTGTGTGTGTTGCCTCTCCTTATGTTGCGTAGCCTTATTACCAATGTCACAAGTTCTGGCCTTGTGCTTGGAAGGCTGCAGCACAGAACCACTGGAGATGAAAAGCTAGTTCAGATGTTCAACAAAGGATGTGTGTTTCAATGAAGAGCATACTATTCCCACAAATCAAGGCCTTCCTGTGAACAATGTTCTGATTCTTTGTGTGTTTGTGGAGTGCTGTCCTAGCTCACCCTGATAAGCGTATGGAGGTATGGGAATGTTTTCCACTGATCTGATACGCTGGATGGGTGATGCAGTACATGCGCCATGCTATCTCCCACCCCTCCAACCACAAACCACACAAACCACCCCCAGCCGTCCCCTCAACACCCATATCAACAGACCCAGGCACTCCAGGCTAGCTTGGGGTTGGAGGGGGTGACAGGGGGAAGGACCAACATCCGTGAACGACAAATGGACAAGGGCAGGCGATGCTCTGACCTCTGCTTGTTCAGTCAGAGGTGTAAAAAATATCTCAAAATCAAAATACGCAACTCCGAAAGAAAAGGAAACACAGCTCTCTATGCCCTCTCAGCAGATGTTTGATGATTTACTGAAGACACTTATGGACATAACCAACACTCATCTTATTGAGGAATTCATCACATAACTGTATTTGTTGAACAAAGTTAACACCAGATGCACACATTAAGCATAAGCACTGTATACACTGTATAAATTATAGCACACACAGATTTGTACGCTGTTCATGAACAGTTAAAAGATTCCAAATAAACTGTAGTATAAATAGTTTTAGCCTAACACTGTAGGTTAACTGAGGCACACACTGACTGTGTTTCAGCATCTCCACTGAGGACTCGGCTATGTGACTCAAAGCAATGACTCATTCATTGCACGGTGCCATGAGGTGTTCACCACACTGTCATACACTGACTACTTCAAAGTCTTTGCTACAGGTAGAAGAGACCAGGAGTTTTATGGGAAGAAGAAGGACATTGTATGTTTCGTTTCATTTGGTGCCTTTAAAATCTCTCTTTCACTGGAGTCTAATTTTGTTCTTTTTAATATATTTTCTATCTATATTCAATAAATGCTCATAAAATGTCAAAGAAATTAGTTATGTTGTCTCACATCATGTCATGGGTTACATGTTGAGTTTAAGTTTCAAGCCAGGAGCTGCCTTGTTGTGGAAGCCTCCAATCCAAACAAGTCCCTGAGAGTCTGTGAACTCCCCGTCGCCCTCCAACCTATAAAAACAACAACAATAGAGCCATCATTAGCTAGCCATCGGCCTAGCCTACTATTCACTAGCCTATATCTAAATATGACAGGAAAAAGTTAACACGCTAAAGTCATGAGTTCACCTGTTCTTGCTGAAGCTGCCGCAGTATTTGGTCCCATCAGGGAAGCTGTATGTCCCTGTGCCGTGGTACATGTTGTCTTTAAAGTCCCCTTCATACAGGGCCCCAGAGGGATGCTCCAGAGTCCCTCTGCCATTCATCTGGAATAGAGGGAGCACTGGTCACTCACAGCAGACACATCCCAAAACCATCAACTCAACTATGACCCTCTAATCCAAATACCAATCCCTATCAATTCTATCCTAATATAGTCCTACACCCAGCCATGCACTCGCACACACCCGCACACACACACACACACACACACACCTTGTCATCATGCCACTCTCCAGTGTAGGTGACCCCACTGGCTGAGGTGTGTTTGCCCATACCACTCCTCACCACAACTGCCTCTGTGGACCTGCAGCACTCTCCTTCTGGTGATGACAGCCATAATGCAGCTGGTTATAACAGTTAGAATAATTAATTTAATGTTACTGTGTCAATATGAGCACTTACCATATCTGTCACCATTTGGGAAAATGTAGGATACTTGCAAACTCCCTTCCTCTGAAAAGAAATATGTGAGTGGAGTTTAAGACTGTTACATAGGCTAATAGTTAGCCTAAAGCACAAACATACAATATCTGCACACCAAAAAAAGCAAATGTCTTGAGATGTCCAAGTCTGGTCTCTGCCTACCTTTGCTTTCTGTGACCTTTCCTTTTTTCTTCTCTGCAGGAAACACACTTTATTAATAATGACATTATGTTGTAGCTCGCTAGCTAGCTAGATATGCTATTTCTGAATTATGCTGGCTATACAGTATGGTAACTGGCTAACGTTGGCTACTCACCTGACATTTTAGAAATGCTTTGTCAAATTGAATTTACTCTATAGCTAGAGTTATTAGGTAACTGGCTTGCTAACTTTAGCTGGCTGTCAAGCTAGTCTATTTCGGATTTGTTGCTAGTTCAAACATGACTATAGCTATATCATATTCTATTTTTTCGTGCTGGTCCAGCTGATATTGTTGCGCTGCACTTCCTAAACGTTATATTACCATGGCAACTCCACACAACCTTTACCGGAAAATAAACTTTGACCTCTGATAGATTTACCAATGAGAGAGAAGCTGAAGTTGCTGGTGGCTCATCAGCTTTGTAAATGTTCTTCGGTCTCTGGCTAAATAACCTATTTTCTGTTTCTCTTATGTATTCTTTTTCTCGACAGTTATTAGGTAGTACGTTTTTTTTTTACTCTTGCCCATACAGAAAGAAACAATGTGGCGCCCGATCTACTGATGGATGTAGTTAGCATGGCTACTGGCTAGCAAGCCTCAGTCCTAGCTGGCTGTGATAATGTACTGAAAGTGGTCATTCTGGTCAATTATTTAGCTTGGCCGACAACCCAAGAAGTTATGAACTAAACACGATGTAAACTTGTGTCTTGTCAGCCAGAAAGTAAAATTTTAGCTAGCCTGTTCCTACTACGTTCAAGGCACCGACACCGTGCCTTGCATAAATTATGTCCACCTGCTCTACTGTCATCTGAACTGAAAACTGAAGTCCAGAGTAGGAAGTGAAATGAGCAACTGCAAAATAACCGAGTGCTACAGTAATGCAAGTAGTATGTCTGACGCATAATCCACATAACATAGTTGGCTGGCAATGCTATTGAAAAGTCTGACTTGTTGCAACCTATGGGTTTTATACTGCACTCCCCTTAAAATAATTAGCTAGCTATTAGCTCTGATCCTTTGAACTGTGGAATAAGCCTGAATAATTAACTTATTTCTCTCATCTCTCTTTCTCTCTCCACAGGCCCACCTCAGGCAAATAATTATATTATTAAAGGAAGGGGAGGGGGTGGCCGGGGAAGCGGTGGTGCAGGCCGGGTTAGCAGAGTAGGAAGGGGAAGGGGCACTGGTGGAGGAAGGGGCACTGGTGGAGGAAGGAGCACTGGTGGAGAAAGGGGCACTGGTGGAGGGAGGGGTAGAGGTGGCAGAGATGATGGGCAATCTGCCCATGCAAAATATAATTACCAATAAGAACCAGGAGCAGGTGAAAGAGCTGCAGACCCAGGACTATGACAACAAGCCTTATGAGTGAGTGTTCTCATAACATAGGAAGAGAGCCTGTATACTGGAGTGCCTTCAGAAGACTGGGGGTCTCTGTATAATATTGGAAGAATTGGAAAAGGTGTTGGTGTTCAAGGATGATGTTTTCTTCTCTGCAGAGGTTTGTTTAGTTGCACTGGGATGTATTAGGTATCACTCACCTTTTTGACCTGAACAGACTAATAACATCACATGATCTTAACCCACCTGTTCTTTCTCAGTGAAGAAGCAGAGGAGTATGATGAAGAGGAGTATGATGAGCTGGATTACCGGGAGGAAGGGCAGTTCTGGAACCTGATGAGCCTGTGGAGAGTGCAGAGAGCCCCGTCTATGATCCTAACTCAGAGGACGAACGGCAGCCCACACCCGAGCCAGTCATAGGACTGTTTGCCATAGGAAAGTTCTGCAGGTATCAGCAGGAGGCTCTGGCCCTTACCACCATCTACGGCGACCGTTTCACCGAGCGTATCGCCAACAGCGTGTGGACCATCACTCTGGCCCTCGACTTCCAGGCCGACATCGCGGGAGGAAAACAGAATGCCTCCGCTAGCACCGGCGGCCCCCGTTCACTTTTGGGACATCTGCCAGCTGCAGGTTTGGAGCCAAGTGCAAGTATAAGCACCAGATACCCACCAAGGGGAAAGCCTCGGGCCCAAGACCCAGTGGGAGCCAGCCAGCCTGAGTTCAGCTCTCCAGAGTATGAGCTGGAGGTCTGCTTCCCCAAAGGGAACTACTACCCCTTCTAGGCCCTGTGGTGGCCTTCTGCTCTAATAATGAGACAATAGGGCCCGCAGCAAGGCTGAGTGTAACAGAGCATCTGTTTGGGGCCCGTGGTCTACACCTTGATCACATGCTGCGAGGACGAGGCCACCATGAAGGAGCTGCTGTCAGTGAGCCATTATAAATACAGCTCCCCGCACCCTGTGGTAGTGCCTCCGCCCCCCGTTGCCATGACAAAGAGCAGGAGTGGGAGGAGCAACGGCATCATCAAATGTGGAGAGCAAGAGTAGTACAAACACCAACAGTAACCGTAGCACCAACAACAGAACTACCCCAACTAACAAAAGCACTGCCAACAGCATAACTACCTCAACTGTCAGCAGAAGCAGCAGCCATAGGCCACAGAAGACTTGGAAGAGGAGGAGGAGGATGATGATGAGGAACTAGTGGTTGTTCCTGAAACAGAGAGCTATGTCAACCGGAGGAAAAAGATGGGGAAGAAGCATGAAGAGAGGACAGAGGGCAGTCAGCAGGAGAACGCCAAACTGTGTCGAGAGTTCAGGAGAAAACAGGTAGATCAACACATTTCTCCATGGAGCTGAGAGACATTTTTGTAGTTTTAAAGCTAATTTCCTGCAATTGTACGCATTTTCCCAGGCAGCTGAGAGAAAATGTTGCATTTTTAATGACATTTTCCTGCGATTCTACATATTCTGCCATGAAGCTGAAAGAACATTTTGCAGTTTTTAAGCTAATTTCTTGCAATTCTAAGCATTTTGCCATGGCTAATGCTGTGTTCTTTTGCTCAAACATAATAACAAAATCTAGATTGCTAAATTAATATTTTTGGAATTTTCAATTCTCCCTGACTGTCTAGCTTTTATTTTGGTGTTTGTTAGTTCTCAAAGATATAATTGAAAAAAATATATAGGTCCATTATCATTTCAACATACTTTATATCATACTCTAACCGTTTTTCAGTCCAGAAAATACATGGACAAGTTTTTGGGGACTTAGGCGACACGAAAAAACGCTTAGGCGGCCTGCCCAAGGATTTCAATAGCAGAATAAATCCCTGACTACAGTACGAGACATTTAAACAGCCTTTCTTATGCTATTTAGGGCCATATATTAGTGGTATGGGAGACTTGCGATTTATCATTCCTGTCCAATACTAGTCATGCCTGTAACCTTACTGCTAAAATCATGAGGGGTCATGTCCCTTGTGATGATATGCGAATGTCTGTTTGCTCCAACTAATCCCCTGTTACTGTTCCTCTCTCTGCCAGTCATCCAGGCGCTTCACCTCCATGCTGCATCAGAGACAGAAGCTGCCTACCTGGATTGAGAAGGAGAACATCATGGACCTGCTGGTGTGAAATGTCACAGATGTTATTAGATTTGTTGCATGCTACAGTGTTCTATGTTTGAAGTTGTATCCACATAATTTTCCTTCCTCATGACGTACAGGCCTCCTGTAGCTCAGTTGGTAGAGCATGGCGCTTGCAACGCCAGGGTTGTGGGTTCGATTCCCACGGGGGGCCAGTATGAAAAATGTATGCACTCACTAACTGTAAGTCGCTCTGGATAAGAGCGTCTGCTAAATGACTAAAATGTAAAATGTAAGTTAACTCGGTGTTAAGATCTGATGTCTTTGTGTTGGTCTTCTACAGGTGTGGTAAGACCACCCAGATCCCTCAGTTCATTCTGGATGCGTCTCTGATTGGGCCTGCCGACCAGGTGGCTAACATCATCTGCACCCAGCCCCGCCGTATCTTTGCCATCTCCATGGCTGAGAGGGTGGCACAGGAGCGGTACAGAACGCCTCTGTAACTCCGGGGCTACCAGATCCGCCTGGAGACCGTCAGGGTCAGTGGAACTCAATGTTGCACACATGCTCACATGCATAACCTTGCATTCTTGTGGTCCTCTGTAGCTCAGCTGGTAGAGCACGGCGCTTGTAACGCCAAGGTAGTGGGTTCGATCCCCGGGACCACCCCATACACAAAAATGTATGCACGCATGACTGTAAGTCGCTTTGGATAAAAGCGTCTGCTAAATGGCATATTATTATTATTATATTCTAGTTGAACTTCAATTAAACTTGCGCTCTCTCTCTCTCTCTCTCTCTCTCTCTCTCTGTCTCTCTCTCTCTCTCTGTCTCTCTCTCTCTCTCTGTCTCTCTCACCCCCCCCCCCCCCCCTTCCTTCCTCCCTCCCTCCCTCTACCAGGCTGCTGTACTGCACCACAGGAGTGCTGCTGAGGAGGCTGGAGGGGGAGGCAGACCTCACAGGGATCTCTCATATCATAGTGGATGAGGTACACAAGCGCACAGAGGAGGTGAGATCACACACTCACACATTGTGAGGACCTCTCCTTATAAGTATGCATAAGTACCTCCTCGTAAGCCAAAAGCATACGGACTCGCTCACTATTGTGGCAGTTGTCTCATCCTGATTTTTTCTCTCTCTCCGTCCCGCTCTCTCTCTCTCTCTCTCCGTACCTCTCCCTCAGTGACTTCCTCCTGCTGGTGTTGAAATATCTGTTGGTCCAGAGCCTAGACCTGAAGATCACCCTGATGAGTGCCACCCTCAACGGCACACGTCTTCAGTGTCGGCATACAGTTGAAGTCGGAGGTTTACATTCACCTTAGCCAAATACATTTCAACTCAGTTTTTCACAATTCCTGACATTTAATCCTAGTAAAAAGTCCCTGTTTTAGGTCAGTTAAGATCACCACTTTATTTTAAGAATGTGAAATGTCAGAATAATAGTAGAGAATGATTTATTTCAGCTTTTATTTCTTTCATCACATTCCCAGTGGGTCAGAAGTTTACAAACACTCAATTAGAATTTGGTAGCATTGCCTTTAAATTGTTTAACTTGGGTCAAATGTTTTGGGTAGCCTTCCACAAGCTTCCCACAATAAGTAGGGTGAATTTTGGCCAATTCCTCCTGACAGAGCTGGTGTAACTGAGTCAGGTTTGTAGGCCTCCTTGCTCGCACATGCTTTTTCAGTTCTGCCCACAAATGTTCTATAGGATTGAGGTCAGGGCTTTGTGATGGCCACTCCAATACCTTGACTTTGTTGTCCTTAAGCCATTTTGCCACAACTATGGAAGTATGCTTGGGGTCATTGTCCATTTGGAAGACCCATTTGCGACCAAGCTTTAACTTCCTGACTGATGTCTTGAGATGTTGCTTCAATATATCCACATAATTTTCCTTCCTCATGATGCCATCTATTTTGTGAAGTGCACCAGTC